ATTAAGCTCAAGTGAGCCAAGCAATTTTCTACAAGTTGAGAACTTTGTAGTCACCAAACATGGACAATCAAATGACTAATGATTAAAAATGATAACAGAAATAACAGAATACTAGTAAGAGAAGAGTCCACACAGCGATATTTCCTTTGATTCATGTGCATGTATCTAAAATTAAAGGTATCCCATCCGTGACCAGGAATTCCTCGCCAAATCAAATATTCCTGGATAAAAAAGCAATTTTCTCCTACTCGTAAATCATATACTGCTGGACCATCCCTGCAGTTGCATTCAATGTATCATTCCATTTCTGATAAAATAATTCAATTCTAAACAACTGGCCAGTGAATTAGACCATGACTTAATTGTCTTCCTGTACATTTCAGAAGGAAATATCGACATCACATACTTTTATTTAATAATATGTCTTCCTGTACATTTCAGAAGGAAATATCGACAGCATATACTTACATTTTTAACGTCTGCATTGGGAAAGATAAGCAGCTCTACAGGATATGTAAACATAAAAAATAAAACTTTGGGACATTTTCAAATGCAGATACTAGTAGTATTTGATTTAAATCAGAGAGAAGTATGCAGTCTGATGCACCTGGAAATATCTATGAGACATTCTATCATTTTTCATTGTGAATGATAGAAGCTAGTAAATCATTACTATACACAACCTCAATTGCTGTGCAGCTGAGAGAAAATGCATGGAATGCATGTTCCCATTCATTTAACAAAAGTCAATAGTCATTTAAAGCACTAGAAATTGATTTTGAGCCCAAGAAAATTTGTTAAGTATTTTTTCATGTACATATTCCCTTTATGGTTCCTATAATAATATAAAACATTCACCATCTCATGACTAAGTCTTATGAAAAAAGCCTGCACTGTACATATACCACCGATTTCTGGCAGTGAACAGTTAGCTGGTAATTGAAGCATCTTTTACAGTAAATGGAATGCAATTAAATAATTAAAAAAAGGAATTTCATGTCATTAAAATCAGTACAAAAATCATTCTCGAACACTGTTAGAATTAAAATAGTATTTCTGAATTGCACCCTTATTGCTTGCTTTCATCAAAGTACTGTCTTTATCCAAATTGAAAGTCTTTTAATTTAAATAATAATTCATTATAATATATAACAGGCTTTACCTTTTCCACGTTGGTCCTTTTTCTGCTGCATTTTTATCTTCAACAATCCCATCAAATATAGTCAATTCAGATTGAGAAATAAATGTTTCTCATATTTATTTTCCCTTTCAATTTCTTGCCACTACATGTTGGTCTGAAAACTCACTAACAATTTTTTAAATAATGATACTCCGTTTGGTATGCACGCTAAGATCAAATATTGACTTTGCAGCAGCGCACTAATGCGTAACCCTCAGAATATATTGAATAACACAAGTATTGATCAAGTGCATCCCAACTACAAGCCTGAAATTGATTTCTAAACTTCACGTATTCTCCCTAATTAATGACCCTCTAAGACAGGTTGCATTGTCTGATCCCAGAAACGATGTATCTGGATCTATCTGGACCTTTCCAAGTGCCAAATGAAAAAAAAGTAAAAAAGTCCACATTGTATTGCAGTACATGCAGTAGCTGAGGCACAGATTGCAATCTAATAGCTCCTACCATTAGCACAACTAAAACATTTCTGATTAGCAGAGTAAGAAAGACATACAGCCCATGCTGTAATAAAGACATTTACCCCATTTCCATAGATTTTTAGATCGATCTATCCCTGTGGGGCGTCTCACTAGATTACTGTCAGCTTGGCCGGCCTAAGCATCTGTCCTGCCTACTAAAAGCTGTAAGGGGGTAATTAACTATGGTGCCCGCTCGGCTGACTGCAATTTAGTGTGAACCCCCAGGGAGTTAGGTCGATCTAAATCTCTAGGAAAGCACCCATAGGGACAATTTTTTCTTTTTATATATATGTATACTACTACCTCCTACTAGTTTCAACCACATTAGTTATTATTCGCAGGAAGCAAGGGTGCCAATTCATTTTCTTGTTCTAACATTCAGCAGGACAACTGCTTTAGATCCCATACATATTGAAAAATTTAACATTTTCTCAAAAAACGAAATGCTAGTACACTGAAATTGCTTTTGTATTGTACATGTAAGTAATAATAATTTTGAAGTGCCTGTTAAAGATGACAGGTGTGATATAAAAGCACAACGGCATATGTATAACTCAGTTTGCATTGCATATTCCAAGACTGTTCAAAAAGTTAATAATTAAATTAAATATGATTAAAAATGATAATTTTAATATGATTAAAAATAGTTATGTGGCCTTATAAATTCTTTGTGAAATGCAACATGGTTGGTTCAGCCAACAAACTGGCTAAAGACTTTTTTTGAAACAGGTCCCACAGCTCATTACTCAGGGTCCATCTCTCATCAATTACCTTTTTAAACACTTTACCATCATTTATCTTTTCATATGATCTGGAAATTCCTGTTTTTAAGCGTTCAAATTTGCACATTTCATTCATATAATGCTAGATATTTGCTCGTATTCGCTTTATTTAAATGTAAGTGCACTGTCCCCATGCCAATCAACATGGAATACACATTCTTCTTAACAAAAGAAAGGAGCAGGAAAATAAAAATTAAAAAATTATCAGCAATATCAGTAAAAATAATGGATGTAAGTCATATCACAATGGTTCAAGAAATACTTCATAAGGTATAAGAAAAAAGTGAAGCTATATAATAAAATGTGTGGTACATATATGCCACATTTCTGTATTCTAATAACAGACAATTTTCTTAATTCCATGCTGCAGTTTATTAAACATAATTCTGTACTTTAAGGATTTACATCCACAAGGAACTACATGACATTATAACTTAAAAGTTTAAAAGCCCATCTGGCTGTAGGAAGTGGCATGAAGGAGGATTCATTGCTCGCTTGGTTTCTTCGGAGACCAATGGATGAAATGTCCTTTCTTCTTTCCTCTTTGGTTTATACTATCTGTTTTTTACCTAGGAAAAAATTAATCTAAACCAATATGCACCAATAGATCTGTTTATAATCAATAGAAGGTCCACAGGCCCAGTATTAAGTAAAAAAAAAAAAAACCTTGAGGGCCATAAATTTATGCTTTATATGATTAATACTGTCCCACTTTTAAAAAGAATTCTGGGAAACATGCTCCCATCTTCTAGGAAATGGGGGGGAGGGACTTTATAAAGAGATCAACACAAAAACATTAAATTACCTTTAAAATAAAGCTACAAATTGTTATTTTAACATGCAAAACATTTCAGGGAAGAATGCCACTCAACCCCCGTTCTTAATAAATGAAAATTGTCCATTGCATTTCCTTTATGGCATAAGTAAGTAAGTAAATAAACATTTTAAAAAGTACCATCATTCTGCTGAAAACATGTTAATGTAGACATTTTTAGGAGATGAGGAGGAGAGGGAGAATTGTAATTTTGGCATGCCCATCCTTGCTATCCTGGGCCAAGAAACATCCTTCAGTTATATTTCTTACAAGTTATAAAAATTTTTTAATGTTACAAGTCATATAAATTTTTTAATGTTAAATTTGTCACATTTCATTCTCAAATTTCAACCCAATAAATAAATAAATAAATAAATAAATATATAATACAGAAAACCTAGGGATTATCAAGGATACGAACATGTAAGAGAATCCTTCAAAATATTAAAATAATTGTTCAACTGCATGACAGAAGAGGTGACGTTCACACTGCAAGCACTATAAAAAACATCCAAGTTTTTTCATTGCAATTATTTTATTTTGCAATTTGTGTTTTCACAAGTGTATATGACAGAAAGAAATAATTTAGGAAAGAAATATTCACATTTAAACTTCCTATTCAAAACAATGCACCCTAATATAAATTACCTCTATTTATACTAGCAAAGGGAGAATAAAACCATCTTAGCATGTAAATATTGCAGCTGAATGATAATAATATATGCGTATGGCAGGTATAGCTATATGGCATACATTTCACACTGGTTAGTTATCTAGACTCAGTATCAAGCTGAAGGCAATGAATTACAGAGCAAATAAATCGCCAAAGTGCATGTGCATGTGTGTGTCAGCCAATAATAACATGCTTTTTAAAACATGCGGTAGCAAAGGCAAAGATAAGTGGGTTTCACATTTAGGACAGAACAGAAGGATTTCATGTCATATTAAAACATTTTCACCTGAAATCTATATAAATTAAAGCAACAGAATAATTAGAATGATTTTCAATTACCTAAATATTCTGCCCTGTTATAAAACAAACATAAACCTTGGCCTTCAAGAATTTGAACTTAATCCATTCAACTGATATGTGGTAGAAAGTTGTTGCAGAGATAAAAAAAAAAAAAAGAAAACTGGATGCAAACAAACCCAACCAGTTAGTAACGAAGGTTCATTTCACATGTTAAAGCCTGAACTGGGCAGACACATATTAGTGTACATAAGCATTTATAATATCAGTATGTGCCCTATTTCCTCTATATGAATATAGCCTATATTCATATAGAGGAAATAGGGCACATACTATTAGCGATTGAAAAAAATAATCTTATTACATCAACTATTTGCCCCAAATGCCCATCAGTTCAGAAAGTTAGTTATGTTCAAAACCCACAATTGCATGTGCACCATTTATCCTCTAAATGCAAATGGTAAGAGTAAAACCTCCATCAAACAACCAATTTCTTAAGATCTACCATTTGCCCTAAATGTCATTAGTTCACAGAGTATATATCCAGATCCCCGCATGTGCACCACCGACAGACCAACAAAATCCTCTTATTTCTTCTTACCTGGAAAGAATAAAATAAGCCAATCCAGAACAGATAAAGAAATTTAAAACATACTGAAGCTATCTAAATGAAACCCAAATACCAAAGAAACAAAAGCAAATCCCACAACAGTTTGAGAATATTGTTATATGTGGGTGGTGAGAAACATAAGGCTAAGAGTGAGGCGGGTATAGGTCATCATCAACAAAGGATAGCTGCTGCCCTCTGTTGAAGTAAAAAAGTGTCAAATCATGATGATGACAACAGCCTAAAATACTGTCACGTAACATTCAAAACAGTTTTATAATCATATATATTCTGTCATACTTAAATAATATACTATAAATTTTTTTTAAAATTGTAGATCATATCAACCACTAATCACCAGCACCTTAAATTGCATGAATGTTAGCTTTTAAGCTCTTAAGCAGCAAGTGTGCAAAATCATACAACACTGAACCATGAAGTTAGCTTGCAGTTGCTCCAAAACAACTGTGTAATTATTTCCTATCTTTTTCTACTTCACTCAGAAGAGATGGAGCAATTGCACAATGTCTCATGCCTGTTTTGAAATCATCAGAACCATATGCAGTAAATCATTTTAGAAGCACCAAAGCATGACACAACGATAACAGGAAGACCTGATATTTGATCTTCAAATCATCTAACAAGCAGGCTATATAGCCCTATTTAAAAGCAAAATCAATATAAAAGTTACCTCTATTTCTATCATATCCTTGAATCTTTTAAATCACAACAAAATAAGAATAAATGACACTTTGTATAATTACATACATATCAATATATTGATTCACAACATTTTGCAGATCTTCAACCAAAAACCATGCCTGTTTCTCAATGCTTCTTGTATTGTTAGAACATGTCAAGCAAAAGCTCAATTTGTGCATGAAAATGATAATGAAACACTGAAATAATAATGACATTAAAATTAACACATGTGGTATTACAAACAAACCACAGAAACACTCCCTAAAGACCAGTTTATGCTCTGATTATAATACAGTTTGCTAATAAATACAAAAATATGTTTATCACATGCTCACACGTATTCCCCAGGCTCTACTTACATGCAGTTAAGTTGGTGCAGAATGTAGCCAATACAAAAATAGAATCTTTATAATAAATAAGATACACAAAATATTCCCAATAGTAAGTTTGCATGCATCCAATAAATATCCATGTGGCCTTACTCCAAAAGGAAATCAAACATGAGATGGTTGAAACTAAGAATTTTTCGCAGTTGGCATAACACCCGACAGACTGTCAAACAGGTGCATAGTAAAATCCATTTTAAACTACAGGAGCTTGAAGAAAATATCACTACACATTTTCAGCGTTAGTTATTGGGTTATTCTGCTGCATGCCATGCACATTGGTACGTGGGGAGATTGGTATACTGCTGGTATTGTATTGCTCTTGACTTTGCTCATTACCTTCTGAGGTAGATACTGTTTCAGTCTTCTTCTTCTTTTCTCTAAATGTGATGTACGTGTAGAAAACACTTCCTGCACAGCTGGAAACAGGAATTTAATGTCATCATAATCATCAAATTTAACCCCATTTGCATTTTAATGTAAGAAGTCCAAAAAGTGGCTACAAAAATCACCAGTCAAATACAACGTACTATTTTTTGCATGGTTTAAGAAATATAAACTCCCATTTTTATTATTTATTACTCGCAAGCATTCTTTTTTAGTCATATGCAATTAATATATAAATGCTGAATCTTATTTTTTTGATAAAATGTAAAGCACAAAAACAACCTCTGGTCCAGGATTAAGATATTAGTAGAAGTGGATACAAATTAGGCATTTTATCAAAGAATCAGTTTTTATTGTAGATTGAAACACGAGCCCCACTACCAACCTTATATTTAATCCAGTGAAGTTTGTTATACTAAAGATATAGTCTCCTCCTATTATCATCCCCAAGTAGGTCACCAATAAATTCTGGAATACAACATTAATACAGTTTCATCTACACAGTCCCAAATCCATGTTTTGACATTACACACTACATGTGATAAAATCAGATTTATGGATTTTAATATTGGATTAAAGTCATAAAAAATCATAGATGTCAAGCAGTACTTTCTGATATGCATAAGCACACACATTCAAAGCCTATGCCTTGTCATACTACGAAATATTTTATGAAAGATATGGTGACAGATATTTGAAAGCAACATATTAATGCATTTTTCATGGATATGTTAACAGAAGCCCACTCACCTTTAAAACCCCAACAATGGTTGTTGTTAAAGCAGAATTATAATGTGTGCACATTACAACAGAATACATAAGGACAAAGCCCATCAAACAGGACAAGGTGAACTGTAACAGGAACCAGGCATTTCCCCATCCCTCAAAGTTTGTTGCCTGCAAAAATAATGTACAGATCCATATCAGAACACTATTATCAGAATGTTTTGTTAAAATATTACCTGCCATTTAAAACTGAGAAAAATACAATGGTTCCTAGTCACTATGGTTCCTAGTCACCAAACTTTATTCAAAATGTACCTGAAGTCTCATTTACTCAAGTAACTACATCTTAATCAGAGCTTTAAATACAATGCACTATGAATTATCTTTCCATCTCATTTATATGCATCACAATGTCGATGCATCCATTACCTTTTGTATATCTCCTGTATAGGCACAAATTAAAGTTGCTGGTAACAGCATAAATAATGCATTGTAGTATAATATACCATACTGGCCCAATTCCTGCAATATAAGTATTCCCATGAAATACTTAGGGGCATACAAAATAACAATGGTAATAAAAATAATAAAATTTTAAAACATTAATAAAAATAGAATTATTATCAAACAATTCCAAGTCCATTGTCCTTTAAAAAAAAGCAGGAATCAGAGTTTAAATAGCAATAACCTGCCTTTGCTATAAGGCAACACTTTAAGAGACACAAATTTGTCAACTTTATCAATCTTATTTATGACAATAATCTTCATCACTCACTTTTGACTCGAGCTTTTTTTTTGTTGTTACCCCATTCCCAGCCGTGGTTATGTCATTCAGCAGAAGAAAGGTATAACCCCAGAAGTTGAAGGCAAGATCACCACTGCAAAAGAAAATGAAAAATGGAACCACATAAAAAGTGTGATAAATAAACAACAGTTTAAATGTGCTATTTATTTGTTATGCATAATCTTCTTTTTTTACTTATGTGTGAGTGTTTGTGTATGCTGCTGTGCCTGCATGCCCTTGTAGGTACAAAGAACTGCTGTACTGTGAGAATAAGGGTTTGTTTTTTTGTTTTTTTTTTTTGGTGTAAAAAAAGGCAGATATCTAAGCATTTTAGGAAACTTCAACTGTCACAGCATGTATTGACTGTGAATGGAAACCCTTCTGAATAAACTTTTAATTACAATTACAATAACCAGTTTCTATTAATTTTACAAACATGCAATTTTCCAGTGAAGCACACTGTGATGTAAAGTAAAATATGTATACATACCTTGCTGCCACGATTGCACCAAATATCATACAGAATACTGAGAATTGCACCTTATAAGAGGCTTTCACCCTGCAGATGATAAAACATGGGCAATATGTGCACAAGAAGTAAACTGAAGGTGTCTTAACTGTCAGCTTAAAGCACTGTAGTTCAAGTTAAACAGAGCATCCCTGACGCAATACACCATTTAAAAATTATTCTGTTAAAATTTCATCTCTGACTAATATCCATTATCTTTCATTAATTTATTAGAATTCTAAATGTGGAATAAAAGCCTGCAGGTTGATTCTAAAATACACATAAATTAATAAGGCTTGTACACTCCAGCATAGTAGATTTAAAATAAATGCTAAATACACCTATTTTTGGTGAAAGTAAGTGTTAACTATTTAAATAATTTTGCCAAATTTCAGATTTGGCCCAATAATTTTAAGGTGTCAACAATTTATCATTTAAGTATAAGCCTCAATTATATTCTAGTTTCTTTTGCATGTGTGTAGCAGACTGAGTAAAACTCACCCTAGGATATAGTACTCTAATATCATTGTCATTAATATGGAAAATCTCCTCAGCACTGTAAACATAGGCAAGCTGCAACAACATTTCAATGTACTTGAATAATCAGATTATTCAAATATCAAACAAGCAAATGAAAATAAATATGTAACCCCGTATAAACAGCAGGGGCTACTCAATCTTTTATAATTTTATTTTTACAAACAGCTGTTCCTAAATTAACATGAACATCTATTTTGGTTAATGGCTACATTCTAATGTTTAAATTTTTTTTTTAATTCATATAGTTTGACTCGTTTCCATTAAAAATGTCATACTTGAGCTTTTTGGTTCCACCAAGACCAAATATGAGATTGCCAAGGTAAAACAGTGGCAGAGGAAATATCTGAAAAAGAAGCAATACACATGACATCTTTCATGTTGGTATTCAATACAAGCAAAAATACATTAGTTTTTTTACTTTGGTACATTTGTTTCAATTCAGTTTTTTCCTCATCAAGATATTTAAAAATAATTGATACTTTAAAAGACTAAAACGTGTTTTATTCAGTATTTGAACCACAGCAACATATTTAGCACATTTGTGAAAACAAATATCTTTTAAATAACAATTATTTAAAACTGTTCCATCTACATGGGCCTGGCCATACATATTTATAAGTTCTCATGTTCTCTAAATAAAATTTACTAGACTGCATAAAAAATGGCTGAGACTTTTATTACCTTTTTTATCACATCTGGTCTTAAATCTGGGTAGTTAACAATATGTAAACATTTGCCTATAAATAATACAATTACAGTGGCAAGCATCTGGAAAAAAAGAAGTAATTTATTCATACAAAACAAACCAATATTTATAATCAGCATTGAATTACATCACATAAATAATTTTTATGGAGAAAAAGAGAAAATTTGGTTATCCATACACAACAAACCAATGTTTATAATCAGTATTATAGTTTTTATACATACCGCAAAGTTAAAGCCACATTTAATATATTAAGCAATGAATGAATGCAGAGGTGTTTCTCATGCAAGACATGTACACAGAATATGCCTGAGTGACCAGAGGTCAGGACTTCAATATGCAGGAAACCAGATTTTAACTGTTACTGACACAATGTTCTTACCCAAACCTTTATAAAACAGTTGAAGTCAACATGTCACTATGTGGAGTTGCTTTTTATGCTTTAATATAGAGAGTGCAGAAATCTATAGGCTGTTTTAAGAGATGACAATTCTTTATTTTGGTGGGAAAAGTGCCATAAAGCCGATTTTCCTGGGGTTGATTGTCAATTTACCCATACTTTCCAATGGTTAATGAATCCATTCCAACATTCAAAGTTAGTCTTTTTTAAGTGTAGTTTTTGTTATAATCTCTTAAAAGAGATTATCACAAAGGGTAGCTATGCATAAATGTTCACTTGGTCTGATGGCAAGCACAGATTTCACAGTAATTGCGATCACTGCCATTAATTATAAATATTTCTGTGTTGTTTACAATGTATTTATTGTGGAATATTGAATCTCATATGAAGAGCTCTTATAATCCTTTTAAGTTCATGGAAACCCACTTAAAAGTTTGCCACATAATCCTCTACTGGATACTGAATAGATTTTCTGCAGGAATTACACAACAAGCATTCATTACACAAGTGGGTCGGCCAAATTTTATCCATGGATCTGTTTGTACACTTTTGTGAATGAGGCCTTTATTTATTTATTTTTGATGTATTGCTACAGTCCAAGGATCATAAGATCCTAGATTTCACTGATCCAAAAATTATGAAAANTTGGTGTAAAAAAAGGCAGATATCTAAGCATTTTAGGAAACTTCAACTGTCACAGCTTGTATTGACTGTGAATGGAAACCCTTCTGAATAAACTTTTAATTACAATTACAATAACCAGTTTCTATTAATTTTACAAACATGCAATTTTCCAGTGAAGCACACTGTGATGTAAAGTAAAATATGTATACATACCTTGCTGCCACGATTGCACCAAATATCATACAGAATACTGAGAATTGCACCTTATAAGAGGCTTTCACCCTGCAGATGATAAAACATAGGCAATATGTGCACAAGAAGTAAACTGAAGGTGTCTTAACTGTCAGCTTAAAGCACTGTATTTCAAGTTAAACAGAGCATCCCTGATGCAATACACCATTTAAAAATTATTCTGTTAAAATTTCATCTCTGACTAATATCCATTATCTTTCATTTATTTATTAGAATTCTAAATGTGGAATAAAAGCCTGCAGGTTGATTCTAAAATACACATAAATTAATAAGGCTTGTACACTCCAGCATAGTAGATTTAAAATAAATGCTAAATACACCTATTTTTGGTGAAAGTAAGTGTTAACTATTTAAATAATTTTGCCAAATTTCAGATTTGGCCCAATAATTTTAAGGTGTCAACAATTTATCATTTAAGTATAAGCCTCAATTATATTCTAGTTTCTTTTGCATGTGTGTAGCAGACTGAGTAAAACTCACCCTAGGATATAGTACTCTAATATCATTGTCATTAATATGGAAAATCTCCTCAGCACTGTAAACATAGGCAAGCTGCAACAACATTTCAATGTACTTGAATAATCAGATTATTCAAATATCAAATAAGCAAATGAGAATATGTAACCCTGTATAAACAGCAGGGGCTACTCAATCTTTTATATATATAATTTTATTTTTACAAACAGCTGTTCCTAAATTAACATGAACATTTATTGTGGTTAATGGCTACATTCTTATATTTTAAAAAGTTTTTTTTTAATTTATATAGTTTGACTCGTTTCCATTAAAAATGTCATACTTGAGCTTTTTGGTTCCACCAAGACCAAATATGAGATTGCCAAGGTAGAACAGCGGCAGAGGAAATATCTGAAAAAGAAGCAATACGCATGACATCTTTCATGTTGGTATTCAATACAAGCAAAAATACATTAGTTTTTTTACCTTGATACATTTGTTTCAATTCAGTTTTTTCCTCATCAAGATATTTAAAAAGAACTGACACTTTAAAAAACTAAAACATGTTTTATTCAGTATTTGAACCACAGCAATATATTTAGCACATTTGTGAAAATAAATATCTTTTAAATAACAATTATTTAAAACTGTTCCATCTACATGGGCCTGGTCGTACATATTTATAAGTTCTCATGTTATCTAAATAAAATTTACTAGACTGCATAAAAAATGGCTGAGACTTTTATTACCTTTTTTATCACATCTGGTCTTAAATCTGGGTAGTTAACAATATGTAAGCATTTGCCTATAAATAATACAATTACAGTGGCAAGCATCTGGAAAAAAGAAGTAATTTATTCATACAAAACAAACCAATATTTATAATCAGCATTGAATTACATCACATAAATAATTTTTATGGAGAAAAAGAGAAAATTTGGTTATCCATACACAACAAACCAATGTTTATAATCAGTATTATAGTTTTGATACATACCACAAAGTTAAAGCCACGTTTAATATATTAAGCAATGAATGAATGCAGAGGTGTTTCTCATGCAAGACATGTACACAGAATATGCCTGAGTGACGAGAGGTCAGGACTTCAATATGCAGGAAACCAGATTTTAACTGTTACTGACACAATGTTCTTACCCAAACCTTTATAAAACAGTTGAAGTCAACATGTCACTATGTGGAGTTACTTTTTATGCTTTAATATAGAGAGTGCAGAAATCTATAGGCTGTTTTAAGAGATGACAATTCTTTATTTTGGTGGGAAAAGTGCCATACAGCAGATATTCCTGGGTTTGATTGTCAATTTACCCATACTTTCCAATGGTTAATGAATCCATTCTAACATTGAAAGTTAGTCTTTTTTTAGTGTAATTTCTGTTATAAGCTCTTCAGAGATTATTACAGGGGGAAGCGCATGTATAAAGGTCCACTTGGTCTGATGGCAAGCACAGATTTCACAGTAATTGCGATAACCGCCATTAATTATATTTTTATGTGTTGTTTACAATGTATTTATTGTGGAATTTTGAATCTAATATGACAAGTTGTTATCCTAGTAAGTTCATGGAGACCTACTTAAAAACATGACATATAATCCTCAGATCCATGGATCTGTTGTGAATGCTGCCTGTACTTATTTTTGATATATTGCTACAGTCCAAGGATCATAAGATCCTAGATTTCACCAATCCTAAAATTATGAAAAATTTACTAAGATATAAAAAAAAAAAATTGTTACAAAGTTCATAAGTCATGGTTTGAAATTTTGAAAATTATGACAGAACTTCCTTGGTGGACACAATTCCTTTTCTCTGTAATTGCCCTTTAAGTTAAGGCCAATGACCAAAAATTAACAATTCACACCAATAAATCACTAATTCACAATTTATTCTTTTATAAAGCAATGGAGGGCATATCATGAAATCGTCGCGCCTATTATTTGTAGAAAGAAAGCTATTTAATGGAGTGCTGATAGTGTTATCCTTCGCAATAACTCATGGGTGACCACACAATGTCAGTGTTGCAGGGACACACTAGCTTTCAGTAGTTCAGTCACTTCTTACATCTCTACTTTAAAAAGCAACCACGAAAAAGCAAAATAATTGTTCTTTTATAATTACAAAGGCTTAGAAAGGGAAACCTGGCTTCAATGGGAAGCATACAGGCTTTTAGTAAATCAAGCTCAAACTGCATGGCTGGCTATGTGAAATCAACAACAGCACAGAAAACTTCACCTCTGAAAAGATGACACTAACAATATAGATGCAGCACAAAGATAACAATGGACTACTGTGTCTGAGTCCTTATCAGGGCAATTAGCTTACCTGTCCCAGTCCTAAGAACTGGAAAGATGGAAACCTAAAATATGAAAAGACACACTTGTTAAAACAGATTGTTTCGAACTGAACTATTTCTCTCTGATTTTTTTAATGCATCTGCATTTTAAGAGACCCAAATTATGTGTCAACTTGATTTGTTTTTGTTTGCCAAGTGGACACGACAGGGGCACTTAAAATAAACAGCACAAATTCAAGTAAGCTTTGCAATAAAAACCAAATGCTTGGATATTAATATAGTATGTATGTATGTATGTATGTATGTATGTACGTGTATACACACCATATTTTCGTTTTTACTCTGGAAGCTTGTTTGAACTGTTTAGCAGCTGCTGCTGGATTCCACTGATTCTACTTCCATGAACTTCCAAGCTTTACATTTGGTTTCCGACTCATACAATTCATTTACTGTGTATTTTCACGCTTGAGGTTGTTACATATTAGAGTCGACTTACTTGTACGTTGTGAGGACTACCTTGTTGATCACAATGATCATAAAAGACGCGAATCCATAGAACAGTGCCGATAGAATTCGGTACATAAACGGCGGAGCTCCGTCGGCATGTTCGCCAGATCCCGCCATGACACCAGCATGGCACAGTAAACAGAGAGCGGTCACGTGGCGCAGTGACGTTGCATGGGAATTCCCTTCCTTTTTTCAGCTGGATAAACGCGCCAGCTAAGTCAAAATATTAATCAGTTGAGGGGGAGGATGTATCTCGTATTTTTGAGAATTTACATTATATCAATTCCTCCGTAACAGTATTTCCACCCTTTCTACAAGAGACTGTATAAGTGTATATATTTCACGGACATAAACATCATCTTCGTGTTTCCACCTTTCCCAAAGAAAAACTTAAATTTTGTCAATTTTCCTTTGCAAACTCTACAAGAAAACGTAATTTTTAATAGTGCAAAAATGTCTTTAATTATGCTGACATCTACAGGATACAATTATAAATTGGTTTACTGCATGATGCACTTAGTTTTTCACTTATTAAAGGCAAAATATTTACAACTGAAATGGATTATACTGATAATCATGATGCCCAGAAAAATTGTAATATTGTCTTTTGGAAAGAAAGGTGAAAAGTATGAAGAATCACCAAGCAGTACAACATGTGCTAGTACTACTTCATATAGAATAAAGCATCCAAATGAAAATTTAATAAAATATGTTGATTGCCTTATATAAACGATTTATTCCCTCAATATATATATTTAGTTAACATATCTGTCACAGAAAAAATATATTTGTTTTGGATCCTCTTTAAATTTAAAGCAATTACAGTATAATATGCAAACATGTTAGTCACACAGTTACTCTCAATGTTCATAAATTGCGAAAAATGAAGTCACAGCTTAACAGGCAAAATATTATTAGTAATAAAGTATTAGAAACGGCAATTTCAAGTTTTTATTGTTATGCTGAACTTTGTGTTCAAACATGGTGTAACACACAATTCTTCATTGCATACTTCCACTCTTACGTAATGATTTATGTTGTGATTTTTAAGGCTAATAACAGATCAATTCACATAAAATACTACAGCTGCACATAAAACAAATGTAATGCTGCCAACTCCAGATGGTCACTTGAACATCAATACATCATAAAAATACTCTTTCACAATTCTTCCTTTTAACTGCCACATTTCTTTTGTTTGCCTGTTTTTTGTATTTTTTTTTTTTTTTACTGAAACATAATTGTCATACATTGTACATAACATTCATACTCATCAATACTGCCCAGCAGTCTGTTCTGATATGGCCTGTAGCATGCTAAAACACATCTACAACCAAAATCCTAATGTAACCATACTTTACCACTACCTTTAATAAATTATCCAAAATATCAGCTGGCATGAAGCACAAACACAACATCAAGAATGTCTGTATGCTCAGATCTTAACATCCTTTGGTCTAACTTTTAAATTTACGTGAATTTTAATAAATTTAATAAAAAAGCTATTTTTTATTAACCCTTTTTGCCACGAAAATTATGCAGGTGCAAATTTAATTTCAAAGAAGGACCACCCACAACCTGTAGAATAACAATGACAAGCTTGAACACTGATCGGTTTTTGAACAAGGTCAAAAAGATCCCCATCCTTTCCAAATAAAGTCCATTCTTTCAGTACAACTTAATTGTCAAGGGCACGAATGGCACAAAAATGAGAAAAACTCCAAAGGAACAGGATAAAAATACTATTAAAAATAAGTCTCATTAAATGGTAAAATTGTAATCTAATGGTGAAAAATTAAAACTTTCAGTAGAAAAACATTCACAGATGTACAATTCAAACATTCTGTTTCATCTACATCCTGCAATATTGCACATGAAAAAAAAAAACACATGGGAACTTTTTTTTCTCATCAAAATACACTTAAATTTTGTGAATGATTTTGTTCATCTCAGTCTTCAAGATAAAGACAAAAACTTATTTGGTTAAGTTTTAAATAAATGGTTAAAGAGATGAATGTGGCATTGAAAAAAGATCGAAATTTCTTTCAATTTAGTATTTTGTTACAATAATTTGCCCCTCATGTTTCTCTCCTTTAAATGATAATTTTAACATCATGCTTCTATTTTAAAAACTCAAATGAAAATGAGCTTATCTGAGCATCTGATCTGTCCTTCTCCCTCACTATTTAGCAAAAGATGAAGATTAACAGCAAACTTGATTAACAAGTACAAATCAAAAAACAATGTTGAAAGGAGTTTTGTCCTTATTCACTTGATTCATATTATGAAGTTTACAGCATAATTGCACCAGCTTTAGTCTTGAATGATGCAGAAACCATTTAAAAAAATTATTCCATAACCTGCCAGAGGGATTAAACCATACCATACAAGTTATTAATCTACCTTGTACATACAGTGTTAAGGATTTTATCAAATTAAGTTGAAGTCCCATACCTTTTCTTTTCTTTTCTTTTTTCTCTAAAAGAGAGGGGATAACTAGACCCTTTGAGCAAGTTATGATTGCTTTGTCAATTATTTTAACAATCTGTGGTGGCAATAGTTAATACTTAAAAAGTATCTCAAATACTCATTGTTTCTCATTATTTCAGTCAATCACTCTAAGACCAAATTTTTCCAGGTCTATACTTAAAAGATTCTTAAAGTATTTTAAGCCACATAAGCAGAAGCAGGTAAGTAATGTAGGCTTTCCATAATTTCATCACAAGTTTCATTTTAATATCTGAAGAATAACTAACAAAATCAAAAAGCCAACAATCTACAAATATGCCAAGTTTCAAATGGTGCTATAACAACAGCAGATTTACAACCATTGGACTGGCACTAACAATAAACATGTAAGATTCAGCTGTAAGTATTACCCTTTATGGTCCCATAAGGTATAACAAGATTTTTACATACAAGGTTATACATAAATATTTCATATTTAACATCAGAATTTTGTTATTCTGTTTATAACTTCAGAATAACATGGACTAGCAAAACCCTGTAATATTTTATTGACCAATTTGACACAGTACACAGTGTTTGGTCAAATACGTAATGTTGTCATGTTAACTGGCATACTGATAATGCTATAAACATGATATTACAATATCACACACACTGCACACTTATGCACATGGACTTGTTCTACAGTGTTCCTGTGTCTTGTCATGGGCTCAGCATTCTCATCATTCCTCAGGGCTGGCACCTGTAAACTGGCCCGCCTATTCCCCACATAGTACTCTTGTATTAACGGAGGCTCGGGCGTTAGACTGAAGTGAGATTCTGACCCCACAGTGCTCTGAGAGTTATGAGACTTGTCCGAGTTGGTTTTGACTGAGGATGCTCGCACCTTGGGTAGTACAGGTGTGCTAAACCTGGACACCTGCTGCATGATCTCACTGTACCTGTCCTCCAGGTCGGCATGGACACCTGAGCCGCCATGACCACCCACCTCTGGAAACGGAAGGGTGATTTATTGCATCAATACTGGAGAGACTTTATCAGTAAAGTAATTTATTGTTCTTTAATATCACCCTTGCTTTGAATACATATCATTATATCATCTATGTTCTTCATATACAAAAATCACTTACTGCTGAAATATTACTATGCTAAACTATTTTTTATTTATTTTAAGAAATTCAATTTAAAACATTATTGCAGGCATTATGAATGCTCTTCAATGAAGGCAAAAATCAATAAAGTCATGCCTGCACTGGTAATCTCTATCAAATGTTCTGCATGAAAAAGAAATTGAAAAATCCAAAAATAAAAAAATTACCCTTCATGTTGATGTAGACTAGCTGTGAGAACATGAGTGCCATTCCTCCCGGAGGAGGCCAGGGCACCTTGTCAAACATGACAGGAATGATGGGTTTCCTGAGCACGTCTCCCAGACTTAGCTCCCTGTTACACAGGTGGGACACAATGTACTTGGGTGTAACACAGGCAATTATTACCTGGGGAAAAGAAAACATTGGAATCAATTGAATTCTTAACTCAGTGTCATGTTGGTACAAAGTACCTGAGAAAAAACAATTGTACATGCATGGAACTAGACATGCTTCAGTAACCAAATGCATTTACATTTTTTATCTGAGGTGGTAACTAAGTGAAAATGTTATACGTATAAACTTTTAACTGCTATGCTATACATTATCATATGTCAAATTTGCATATAAAAAATTGCTTTAAAATGAAAAGACTGCTATAATCTCCTCTCCATATATTATACAATGTAAACACTGTACACCAAAAAACATGAAATACAAAAGCATACTTTGGCACTTCTGATTCCTTCATCAATCTTGGCATTGAGTTGGTCACCACCTCCCATCTGACCAATGTCCATCCAGCAATGATAGCCACTCTTCTCCAACCTGTCCCTCATCAGTTTCACCTCGTCCTGGATGTCCCACTGGTAGCTGATAAATATCTGCGGTGGGTCCACATCTGCCTCTGCAATAGCATATTCACTTACATTTATATAACATTACAATGGCCAAGTTTCATATTATAAAACAGACACCGCGACTGAAGCTCCTTCTCCTTATTTATAATTATGATTAATATACTGGGACAAAATATTTAAATTATTATAATAGTAAGAGTGGCTGTATCTTAAACACATTCATATGTATGTGTGTACATAAGGGGATACAAGTTTGTGTCCATGTATAAGTGTGCCCATGCTACACACACACACACACACACACACACACACACACACACACATGCAGAGAGAGAGAGAGAGAGAGAGAGAGAGAGAGAGCGAGTTCTCACCTTGCCCTTTCAATATAATGTCCACCACATCATCACAGTGCATCTGTTCCAGGTAAGTGACCAGCATGTCAACAGATAGGGCTGTGTTCCCACTGCTTATGATCCAGTCAGTCAGCAGGGAAAGGGCAGGGTTCAAGTCATTGTTGAACATTTCTATCTTGTTCTTCTTGTAACCTGACAAAAAACAAATTCATGGCTATAATATAAGTACGGTTAAACATTAAAGAGTAACTGGATAAGGCCCATACATAATTTCTGTAATTAATAACTAGCAGCTGCTGTCATTTCTTGATTTTCTTCAGGTTGTTTCCAGATATTATACAGAGAATATAATATATAAATAGAGATCAAATAACTGTATCCATACCTAATCTTTTAGCCAAGGCAGTCCAGTCTCTTCCCTCTGATCCTCCATTGAGCAATTTTGCAGCACCTTTGACCCATGAGGGCAGCTCACTTCCCTTCTGCACCTCTAGGTTGTGGATATAAGTCAGACCCCCTTCCTCTGTGATACTCTCTGGGAGGATAGGCCCTTCTTTCACTGCAATAAATAGTGGAGCAATATGAATCAGAGAAAATTATGATCAGATGTGTTGTGCATTAAGAATGAAACAACTTTTTCTACAAATAAAAGGTAATACTGAAAATGTTGTAAACTGCAAATAATTTGATGTGTTTCATGTCTACCAAAATAGCCTCATTTGCCGAGAAAGAGACTATGTACTCTTGGAGCAAAATGAAACCTACGCAATGTACTTTCTTTCTTTCTTTCTTTCTTTAGCATCATTTGTATTAATTGTTATCATTATATCAAATTGGCTTGCATTAAATACCAATGTGGCCTTGTGGAATACATAACAATATCCATCATTCCCACAAAGATTTACTCTCATTGCATTCCATTACTTTGTTTATCAGCTTCATGTAGATTCATTTCTATATGTTAAAAGCCACAAGATGAGCACTAATATTACAAGGATTCATGCAAGATCATTCCTCAATGGAGAACCTATTAGAAAGCTGATCAATAATTAGAGGGAATAATAGATGTCAGCTTCTTCTTTGAAAATAACCTTGAGTTTCAGAGCTAATGAGAATCATTTTGTAAATTCCCAAATATTTCTGCTAACAAGAACAGATCTTAAATAAAACTGATGTTATCAACTATCTGCTGCTCATAGCAACAACTGTATATAATTTACAGTAGCTTTATGTACATTGTATTAATAACAGATACCATGCTTTAGGCTTACATAAAGGAAGTATTGCAAACAGCAGTCAACTCAACATATGGACAGGTTTTTTGAGATCTTGGTTTTATGAGATAGCAGGTAGCATATTAAAATTATTCACTCAGGTAATTTGACAGATTTGTTTATACAAGTGAAACAATTTATATGAGAATAACAACACATTTTGCCCAACCATAAATTTTTTTACTTGACCATCACAGGTGTTATGGCTGGGTTATATTCAATACATGGGCAATGGGACAAATAATTATATAAAAACTTACAATTGAATGACCCAGAAAACAATGCATTTGCTATTGGTTTTGTAAACTTAAATAAACTAGCCATGGTAATAGTCAGATGTTAGAGGCAAATAACTAGTTCTTGTCCAGTTACCAAGATCGTCTGAAGCCCAAGGTTCTGAAGAGAAGATTAACTGAAAGCTTACCAATGCGTGTTGGACTAGGAAACCACTTTCTGTATTGATTAGTTTTGATTCTGCGATGATCACAGCACACAATCTAAAACAAAAGAGAAATCAGTCCATTATCTGCAGCTGTCAGACGTCATTTGTGAACGCTTAAATAAACTGAATCTTACAAAATGCATGTGAGGCTTCAAATTTACTGATATCAACAGGATATGATCAACTATTCTTTGAAAAAGTCATGCAACAAGTTTCTTTTAATTGATTCAGACAATCAAAAATTTATACACTGCACCCTCAAATATGTCCTCTAAATTTTTTTGCTTCTATACCATCAGTAATCATTGTCATGTAAATATTTTGATAACGTGTCAAGTAATAATGTTATGTATACATAAGCATATTACAAAATTCATAATGCTCTTAACAACAAACACATTTTCAGGTGTGACAGAGTAACTAATAACATTGGGTGTGACCCAGAAAGCCAACATACATAAAACTTAAGAGTAAAGAGATTTTGTGTTAATGATGTTACTTAAATGTGAATAACACCTGTAAATAAAGACTTTCATAGGCATGATGAGTAGAATAAACTTACTAAAGTTGTATGGGTGGACAACTGAAATGTAGCTTTGCTTTGAGTGTTAATGTGCTTACTTTATTGGACAGGCACTCATCCAGGTTTAGAAAGTGTTGCACTTTCTGTTTCTTTTCGCAGTGACATTCTACTACTGCTTTGTATGAAATTCTTTTCATCCACATTTCCCGAAGGTCTGATAATGAGGAGTCCAGAAAATTCCGAACCTAAAAGAAATGAAAAGTCTTAAATTATCTTTCATTTAACTCTCAACTACAAAACAATTTTTAAGTAGCACATTCCCAATGAAAAACATCTGATCAACATCTTTAAACTTCAACCTGTTAAAAACATTGATTATCAAACTGGACCAGCCTTTTAATCCTGAAGATACTAAGCACCATGTGTTACCTTGGCTGTAGCTGTGATATCTGGTGCAGGAAGTGCCTTTTCTCCCTGTGTTCCAAGTGAAGACACATCTGAATCTTCCAGCTCTGCCACTCTCAGAACACAAACCTGCAACATATTCCGTTTGTTACAATTTTTGGATTTACCAGAAAAACAAGTATTGTCATACATATCCTAAAAACTTTGGTAGCTTCTCAAAAACATTTGTCTTAATGAAAAAAGAAAAAATTTAAAAATTAAATGAAAGTGAATCATATTTAAACCCGTGTTACATAGTAGAAAGAGCTGTAACCACACAGTAATGAAAGTGAAATTTTCCAAAATCATTCCATCAATCTAATCCACAATGATAAATTGTATCAATATACATTTGCTCTTCATGGAAAACCTAAGTTGTACACTATCAAGAAAAGCAGGTGACAACAGATTCTGTACCTTTATCCTTGCCACCAGCATGGGTTCCATCTCCAGTAGGAAGTCATGCTCACTGTCTAGATAGAAGCGGGCCTTCCTGTAATACAGCTTGGGCATGATTCCTCCACACTCCTGGCACCAGCGAGAGGCTCGCGTTAACAGACGGTGGAACAAACCGTCTGAAACAAAGAAAATTATTGTTTGATTGAAATAACAAGAAGGCAAGAAGAAATGTAGGGAAAACTTAATGTTACGCTGGTAAAAAGAAATAAATTAATCAAAGTGCACACCTTTTGGTTAACATAGCCAGCAAAATATATCTCTATGTACAACTGCTTGCAATTGGGAGCAAAAAAAATGTTATAGAAGCCAATCTTTTCAAAATGATCACTTTGTTAATTCATAGCAATATCATTCTAAAATATTTTTTATCTTAAACTCATGAACAATTCAAAACCAGAATGTGGATATGAAGATTCCAAAACATTCAGCTTACCAGGTAAAAATCCATTGAAATCTAGGTAGAACACAACATCTTTTTCTTTTACAGTGAAAAGATTGTCTGAGCCTATAGGACACTTTTTGAGTAATGAAGGCACGTAATATACTTCTGGAGGGTTTGTCGAATTTTCTTGGCTTTGCTGAAATATGAGAAAAGAATGATTAAAATTTACTGATGTGATAATACAGTTGCCTTCTTGCTTGGGAGTAAGTGAGTAAATTAAGATAATCCTGGGCACCTATATTATCATAAATGCCCCCCCCCCCCCCCCCCCCCCACCGGGTCAGATGGAGGCCATCTTCTTTGTCGTCTGGAAAATGGTCATATTTTCACAGACTAGACTGACAGGCACCTAATTTTTTCTGTCGGAAGATGGTCAAAAATGGAGGATGGATCCAAAAAGGTAATTTGGAAGTCTGTCAGAAAATACATAGCTGCACAACATGTTATAGATAAATTTCAAAATGGCAGGATACTCACATGTTTTGGAGGAAGACATGGGCAAATGAGGTCAAACTTTTCCATGAGTCCCAGTAAGGCAGGTTTCTGGTCCAGATAATCCTTCCACATGTGATCTATTAGTCTTCCTTCCAGCACTCCATCATGCTCTAGTCTGTTCCAGGAATCCACATACACGCCCCACTGAAACAGAGCAATGAAATATGTCTATACAAGACCTCTGTTACTTGGTCATATCCTTTTTTTTTTCAAAGAATTCACAACTTTCTGTACAACATACTGCAAATCAACTGTTTTTCAAAACAAAAAAATTCATCTACCTTAAACATAATTTATCACAAATTCTTTGGCAAATGTACAACAGAAGCAGCTCTCCTACCTGTTCCTTCTTCTCCACCACTGTGATGACCCTCTTGAACATATCAATGAGCCACTGTGGCTTCAGTATCACTGTGTTTCTCAGGGTGTTGTCCAGTGTGGCCATTTCACCGTAGTATATGATAACACCAAGATCATGGTGGAACTCCAGCACTGTCTTCAGCTCACTGTCACTGGTGATCCCTGCATCACTGGCCACCTCACGGATCTGTAATTATTGTTAGATTACTGTTATTTTGTCTTTTTAATTATGGTTGGCAATATTTTCATATGCTATAACGTGTTTCATAAAAATGTTTTTGTTTTTTTTTTTTGCAAACCAATTACATTGCATGTTATGACATGTACTAAATGAAAAGAAAATAAAGCATATATTCACTGACATATAAAACTGACTAGGAACCATATATTGTGTTCTAGTATTCCGATGCTATAAATCTAAGCTACAAAACTCCATATATCAAACAGACTCTAGCATAATGCTAATACCACTCTAAGCTAAATAAAACATTTTCTAAAGAGAAATAAAATGCTCCAGATACAAAGGTGCCCCTCCCCTCATCTCCATAACAACCTCATCAATCTTCTTCCATTTGATGAAACTTTTATCAATCAATTAACTGGTGCCAACTCTAACCTGCTCCAGAGTAACAAAATTGGTCCCCTGCTCCACCAACTTTTCCACCAGTTGTTCAAACTTCAGCCATTTGATTGGCATTTGTTCTCCCATGTAGGGCTCCCTACTGGCCACTTCTTCTATGTACTGTCTGAGCTGGATTAGCTGCTCATCCTTCTGCCCTTCAGGAAGGTTGTTCTCCACGGCAAATGTAAGATTCACAACATGTCTCTGGTATGATTTGTTCATGAGGATTTCACGTATTCTCTTGAACTTCTCCTCCACCTGTAATGAGCAGAAAACAGGAATTTTGAGTCAGTAAAAAGAGTTCATAGTGTAGTCCTTGTCACATTCTTTGCAATGTGCTTGATTCTAAAGAAGCGAAAAGCAAATAACAGGTTCCCGTGAAATAAATCACCCGGAAACACAAAACCCATCACTTACCTAGATGAAAAGCAGAGCCACACAATAAAGAACTAAGCAAATTAACCAGGATGGCATTTATCTGGAATCCATACATCTCCCTAACATACCTGAGGTCTAAATGTCATCATCTAGCATGTATTTCTCAAGACAACAGACTGAGAATATATTTTACATTCATTAATGATTATATCTGACTTTCATACCTCCTTCAGATTGTCAGTATTTAATTTTTTCAAGTTATCATCTTTCTAAACACTCTAAGCAAATTTTCCCTACGTTGTTGATGGCTCATTAACATCACATTTTTTTTTTTTTTTTTTTGCAAATCAATCATATTAAATTGCAGAGCATATAATTGATGAAAGCAAAATACCAATCATTATTTCATGAACAAATTACTAGTATATCAGATTTAAGCATGCAAACTTGACAAAAGGAAATATCAAAGTATATTTCATAAACCAATAATATTAATTAAAGGTATAAAAACTCTTCGTATGTGATCTATAATTCACAATAAAAACCTTGTGAATAACTCATAGAAATATAATATATTCTGTTTTACCACAAAAACAGCAGTTATAGCTATTATTCAGATATCTGAGCTTGTCTTTAGACCACGTGACCTCCATTGATGACTATACTCTGTTAAAATCTCTTAAGAGATTTTAACAAAAAAACAAACTTTTTAGAAAAAACCAGCAACTAACTTTGAAATTAAAAATGGATATATTAAGCATTGGTAAGTATGGGAAAATCGTTGTTTACTCCAGGAAAAATTCTTTTTTTGGCCGAAACGAAGAGTTATTATTGCTTTAAAGTACACAAACTTGATAAAAGGAAAACTGTTTTATCACAAAGCCTATATAAACAAGCCATGAAATAGTCACAAACATATCTGGTATAAAATGGAGCAATTAGAAGTTGACTTTTTTGCAATTAATGAACCATAAAACACAAGAGATAAATATGCATATTGGTACCACTAAATGTTTACAGTGATCAAATAACTGCCACAGCAGGACAATATTTAAAAACCATATCCTCACAGGCAATAGGTTTACAAAAATATACAATTTATTCTATTCTGTAAATGAACTCTGATTTAAAAGCTTCATTAGTGGCATTGTACCTTCATTGAATCTAAAAACCAACACCTTTTTATAGCAAATAGGATATAAGAAGCCATATATACTGACCAATTTTTGCCTCTCCTCTGGATTGTCACTTAGGCTATCTCGGTGGGTTCCTACTATAAGTATAGGTGGCGACAGCGTCATGTTATCCACACTGTTTCTGGTATTCTGGGCAGCATGGGCATGAATAGAACTCATCCAAAAGTCCATGTAGTCTAGATTAGACAGCTCATTTTCTGCACCCTGAGACTGAAAAAAATAATAACAAGCATTTAGATTATTTCTGTGCATCCTACACTTTCATTATACTAGTGCAATACAATAGATTTCAGTGAACAGTTGTTAGCAGCTGTGACCGCATGTAAATCAGAGATCAGGAAAATGAGAAAAACAAACTCATTACTATGTTGTTCACAGTAAATTCACAATGACTGAGTGACACTTCGAGCATTTTGTGTTAACCAAGGAAGCAATCATACTGACAGACAATTCTCACTCCAGGGTTCTTGAATAGCATTGCAGACAGATCAATATGAATATAAGGTCAGTAAACTTTGCTACACACCTGCTCTTCCTCTCCTTCTACAACCATTTTGGCAGGTGCATCCAGATCTAAACACAGGTTGAACACAATCACATACACTGCTCTTGAGGACAGAAAAACCTGGAAAGTACAAGTACCTCTTAGACTTCAGCAAGTAACCATTCTATAAATACATTTCATCATAAACACTTACGACAAAAAAAGAAACACTTTATCTTAATCTGTCTTGTAATGAAAAACACATTTGGAAAAAAATATTAAATCCCATTGACTAGAAATATCATTCTGGAATAAGCCTGAAACAATATCCTAACACTTACCTGATGCGTTGTGTAGTAAACAGCCTGACCAGCAAAGTCCCATATGTTGAGAATAATATTCTTGCCAGCAGTACTAGGGGTGTTTGCTGTAGGTGCTGTGGACTGGTTAGTTTGTTTCTCCTTCCACTTCTCCTGTACCAACTGTACCACTCTCTCTGGCATCTCCTTCAACAGCTCTTCCTGCAGGGAGAAGTCTCCTCCCCCTGTGCCTGGACTGTTGCCACTACTGGCAGGACCAGAGTTTTTACTTTTACGCTGTAAGAGATTTTCTGTCTTTAAACACATTTGCAGACTGCAATTTTTTTGCTTTATCTATACACCAAATATGTGGCTGTTCTATTCCTCCAATTTTTTTCACTTCAAGTTTACATAGCTAATGATCTTCCTCCTCAAAAAAACTTTATACCAAGTACAATGTTAATTTCACCCCTGAAAAATACTCAATCATCACAACATTCTTCTGAATCTATAAACTTCATCAGCTACACTAAACCTACTCTACAGACCCTCTATACTCCCTTGACCATCATAAGGTATAATACAAAATTCAGTGCACTCAGGACATACCCACACTTTGACATTCTGAATATTTATTTCATATTTACCCTTTCCCCTCTTGACTCTGGACGAAGCTTGTTGTTTCGTTTATTGTCTGATTGACCTGCTTTTTCATTACTGTCCTTTTCTCTTTGTTTTTTCTTGTACAACAGTTCTTGAACTATATTAGTTGCCAAGGCCTGGTAATATTCTTCTTCTAGATCTGAAAATAGATTTGCAAGATTTCACCTCTTTTCTCTNCACATTCATATGTATGTGTGAACATAAGGGGATACAAGTTTGTGTCCATGTATAAGTGTACCCATGCTACACACACACACACACACACACACACACACACACACACACACACGCAGAGAGAGAGAGAGAGAGTGAGCGAGTTCTCACCTTGCCCTTTCAATATAATGTCCACAACATCATCACAGTGCATCTGTTCCAGGTAAGTGACCAGCATGTCAACAGACAGGGCTGTGTTCCCACTGCTAATGATCCAGTCAGTCAGCAGGGAAAGGGCGGGGTTCAAGTCATTATTGAACATTTCTATCTTGTTCTTCTTGTAACCTGGCAAAAAATAAATCAATGGCTAAAATAAATGTACATTTTACATTTAACTGTACCTGGATAAGGCCCTACATAATTTCTGTAATTAATAACTAGCAGCTGCAGTCATTTCTTGACTTTCTTCAGGTTATTTCCAGATATTGTACAGAGAATATATAAACAGAGAGCAAATGACTATATCCAATACCTAATCTTTTAGCCAAGGCAGTCCAGTCTCTTCCCTCTGATCCTCCATTGAGCAATTTTGCAGCACCTTTGACCCATGAGGGCAGCTCGCTTCCCTTCTGCACCTCTAGGTTGTGGATATAAGTCAGACCCCCCTCCTCCGTGATACTCTCTGGAAGGATAGGCCCTTCTTTCACTGCAATAAATAGTGGAGCAATATTAATCAGATAAAATTATATTCAGATGTGTTGTGCATTAAGAATGAAACAACTTTTTCTACAAATAAAAGGTAATACTGAAAATGTTGTAAACTGCAAATAATTTGATGTGTTTCATGTCTACCAAAATAGCCTCATTTGCCGAGAAAGAGACTATGTACTCTTGGAGCAAAATGAAACCTAACACAATGTACTTTCTTTCTTTCTTTCTTTCTTTAGCATCATTTGTATTAATTGTTATCATTATATCAAATTGGCTTGCATTAAATACCAATGTGGCCTTGTGGAATACATAACAATATCCATCGTTCCCACAAAGATTTACCCTCATTGCATTCCATTACTTTGTTTATCAGCTTCATGTAGATTCATTTCTATATGTTAAAAGCCACAAGATGAGCACTAATATTACAAGGATTCATGCAAGATCATTCCTTAATGGAGAATCTATTAGAAAGCTGATCAATACTCAGAGGGAATAATAAATGTCAGCTTCTTCTTTGAAAATAACCTTGAGTTTCAGAGCTAATGAGAATCATTTTGTAAATTCCAAAATATTTCTGCTAACAAGAACAGATCTTAAATAAACTGATGGGCGCCCTGTTATCAACTATCTGCTGCTCATAGCAACAACTGTATATAATTTACAGTAGCTTTATGTACATTGTATTAATAACAGATACCATGCTTTAGGCTTACATAAAGGAAGTATTGCAAACAGCAGTCAACTCAACATATGGACAGGTTTTTTGAGATCTTGGTTTTATTTGAGATAGCAGGTAGCATATTAAAATTATTCACTCAGGTAATTTGACAGATTTGTTTATACAAGTGAAACAATTTATATGAGAATAACAACACATTTTGCCCAACCATAAATTTTTTTACTTGACCATCACAGGTGTTATGGCTGGGTTATATTCAATACATGGGCAATGGGACAAATAATTATATAAAAACTTACAATTGGATGACCCAGAAAACAATGCATTTGCTATTGGTTTTGTAAACTTAAATAAACTAGCCATGGTAATAGTCAGATGTTAGAGGCAAATAACTAGTTCTTGTCCAGTTACCAAGATCGTCTGAAGCCCAAGGTTCTGAAGAGAAGATTAACTGAAAGCTTACCAATGCGTGTTGGACTAGGAAACCACTTTCTGTATTGATTAGTTTTGATTCTGCGATGATCACAGCACACAATCTAAAACAAAAGAGAAATCAGTCCATTATCTGCAGCTGTCAGACGTCATTTGTGAACGCTTAAATAAACTGAATCTTATAAAATGCATGTGAGGCTTCAAATTTACTGATATCAACAGGATATGATCAACTATTCTTTGAAAAAGTCATGCAACAAGTTTCTTTTAATTGATTCAGACAATCAAAAATTTATACACTGCACCCTCAAATATGTCCTCTAAATGTTTTTGCTTCTATACCATCAGTAATCATTGTCATGTAAATATTTTGATAACGTGTCAAGTAATAATGTTATGTATACATAAGCATATTACAAACTTCATAATGCTCTTAACAACAAACACATTTTCAGGTGTGACAGAGTAACTAATAACATTGGGTGTGACCCAGAAAGCCAACATACATAAAACTTAAGAGTAAAGAGATTTTGTGTTAATGATGTTACTTAAATGAGAATAACACCTGTAAATAAAGAGTTTCATAGGCATGATGAGTAGAATAAACTTACTAAAGTTGTATGGGTGGGCAAATGAAATGTAGCTTTGTTTTGAGTGTTAATGTGCTTACTTTATTGGACAGGCACTCATCCAGGTTTAGAAAGTGTTGCACTTTCTGTTTCTTTTCGCAGTGACATTCTACTACTGCTTTGTATGAAATTCTTTTCATCCACATTTCCCTAAGGTCAGATAATGAGGAGTCCAGAAAATTCCGAACCTAAAAGAAATGAAAAGTCTTAAATTATCTTTCATTTAACTTTCAACTACAAAAAACTTTTTAAGTAGCATATTCCCAATGAAAAACATTCGATCAACATCTTTAAACTTCGTGCTGTTAAAAAACATTGATTATCAAACTGGACCAGCCTTTTGATCCTGAAGATACCAAGCTCTTACCTTGGCTGTAGCTGTGATATCTGGTGCAGGAAGTGCCTTTTCTCCCTGCGTTCCAAGTGAAGACACATCTGAATCTTCCAGCTCTGCCACTCTCAGAACACAAACCTGCAATATATTCTGTTTGTTATAATTTTTAGGATTTACCAGAAATACAAGTATTGTCATACATATCCTAAAAACTTTGGTAGCTTCTCAAAAACATTTGTCTTAATGAAAGAAGAAAAAATTAAAAAATTTAATGAAAGTGAATCATATTTAACCTCATGTTACATAGTAGAGCTGTAACCACACAGTAATGACAGTGAAAGTTTCCAAAATCATTCCATCAATCTAATGGACAATGATAAATCATATCCTTATACATTTGCTCTTCATGGAAGACCCTAGTTATATGCTATCAAGAAAAGCAGGTGACAACATATTCTGTACCTTTATCCTAGCCACGAGCATGGGTTCCATCTCCAGTATGAAGTCATGCTCACTGTCCAGATAAAAGCGGGCCTTCCTGTAGTATAACTTGGGCATGATTCCTCCACACTCCTGGCACCAGCGAGAGGCTCGCGTTAACAGACGGTGGAATAAACCGTCTGAAACAAAAATATCATTATTTCATCGTAAAAATATTTTAAGTCAAGAAGAAATATTGGAAAAATTTAAGGTTACATTGGTAAAAAGAAATAAATTTATCAAAGTGCACACCTTTGTTAACATAGCCAGCAAAATTTATCTCTATGCACAATTGCTTGTAACTGGGAGCAAAAAAATGCTATTTCTTAATTCATACTGTTTTTAGCCTTAGGTTAGTTGAAACAAACCTTTCCAAAATTATCACTTTGTCAATTCAAAGCAATATCATTCTCAAATATTTTTAATCTTAAACTCATCAACAAATCAAAACAAGAATGTGGGTATGAAGATTCCAAAACTTTCAGCTTACCAGGTAAAAACCCATTGAAATCTAGGTAGAACACAACATCTTTTTCTTTAACAATGAAAAGATTGTCTGAGCCTATAGGACACTTTTTGAGTAATGAAGGCACGTAATATACTTCTGGAGGGTTTGTCGAGTTTTCTTGGCTTTGCTGAAATATGAGAAAAGAATGATTAAAATTTACTGATGTGATAATACAGTTGCCTTCTCACTTGGGAGTAAGTTAGTAAATTAAGCTAATCCTAGGCACCTATATTATCATTAATGTCCCCCAGGGTTGGATGGAGGCTGTCTTCTTCACCGTCTTCTACACTGACAGGCACACAATTTTTCTGGTCGGAAGATGGTCAAAAATGGAGGATGGATCCACAAAGATAATTTGGAAGTCTGTCAGAAAATACATGGCTGCACAACATGTTATACACATAAATTTCAAAATGTCAGGATACTCACATGTTTTGGAGGAAGACATGGGCAAATGAGGTCAAACTTTTCCATGAGTCCCAGTAAGGCAGGTTTCTGGTCCAGATAATCCTTCCACATGTGATCTATTAGTCTTCCCTCCAGCACTCCATCATGCTCTAGTCTGTTCCAGGAATCCACATACACGCCCCACTGAAACAGAGCAATGAAATATGTCTATACAAGACCTCTGTTACTTGGTCATATCCTTTTTTTTCAAAGAATTCACAACTGTCTGTACCACACACTGCAAATCTATTGTTTTTCATCTCCCCTCAAAATTTATCACATATTCTTTGGCAAATATACAACAGAACCAGCTCTCCTACCTGTTCCTTCTTCTCCACCACTGTGATGACCCTCTTGAACATATCAATGAGCCACTGTGGCTTCAGTATCACTGTGTTTCTCAGGGTGTTGTCCAGTGTGGCCATTTCACCGTAGTATATGATAACACCAAGATCATGGTGGAACTCCAGCACTGTCTTCAGCTCACTGTCACTGGTGATCCCTGCATCACTGGCCACCTCACGGATCTGTAATTATTGTTAGATTACTGTTATTTTGTCTTTTTAATTATGGTTGGCAATATTTTCATATGCTATAACGTGTTTCATAAAAAGGTTTTTTTTTTTTTTTGCAAACCAATTACATTGCATGTTATGACATGTACTAAATGAAAAGAACATAAAGCATATATTCACTGACATATAAAACTGACTAGGAACCATATATTGTGTTCTAGTATTCCGATGCTATAAATCTAAGCTACAAAACTCCATATATCAAACAGACTCTAACATATTAGCATTATGTGAAAAGAAAATAAAGCATATATTCACTGACATATAAAACTGACTAGGAACCATATATTGTGTTCTAGTATTCCGATGCTATAAATCTAAGCTACAAAACTCCATATATCAAACAGACTCTAACATAATGCTAATACCACTCTAAGCTAAATAAAACATTTTCTAACGAGAAATAAAATGCTCCAGATACAAAGGTGCCCCTCCCCTCATCTCCATAACAACCTCATCAATCTTCTCCCATTTGATGAAACTTTTATCAATCAATTAACTGGTGCCAACTCTAACCTGCTCCAGAGTAACAAAATTGGTCCCCTGCTCCACCAACTTTTCCACCAGTTGTTCAAACTTCAGCCATTTGATTGGCATTTGTTCTCCCATGTAGGGCTCCCTACTGGCCACTTCTTCTATGTACTGTCTGAGCTGGATTAGCTGCTCATCCTTCTGCCCTTCAGGAAGGTTGTTCTCCACGGCAAATGTAAGATTCACAACATGTCTCTGGTATGATTTGTTCATGAGGATTTCACGTATTCTCTTGAACTTCTCCTCCACCTGTAAAGAGCAGAAAACAGGAATTTTGAGTCAGTAAAAAGAGTTCATAGTGTAGTCCTTGTCACATTCTTTGCAATGTGCTTGATTCTAAAGAAGCGAAAAGCAAATAACAGGTTCCCGTGAAATAAATCACCCGGAAACACAAAACCCATCACTTACCTAGATGAAAAGCAGAGCCACACAATAAAGAACTAAGCAAATTAACCAGGATGGCATTTATCTGGAATCCATACATCTCCCTAACATACCTGAGGTCTAAATGTCATCATCTAGCATGTATTTCTCAAGACAACAGACTGAGAATATATTTTACATTCATTAATGATTATATCTGACTTTCATACCTCCTTCAGATTTTCAGTATTTAATTTTTTCAAGTTATCATCTTTTTAAACACTCTAAGCAATTTTTCCCCACGTTGTTGATGGCTCATTAACATCACATTTTTTTTTTTGCAAATCAATCATATCAAATTGCAGAGCATATAATTGATGAAAGTAAAATACCAATCATTATTTCATGAACAAATTACTAGTATATCAGATTTAAGAGATTTTAACAAAAAAACAAACTTTTTAGGAAAAAACCAGCGACTAACTTTGAAATTAACAAGGCAGCAAAGCTGTCAAATGCACAGACAAAAAACAGGAAATAACTATGCACAAAATAGGCTACTGTCAGTTCTGATGCAAAAGTACATTATGTTAAACTGCAAATTCAACATCAAATTTTAATTATGCTCAACAGGTAATACCAATGTAAGTAAAATGTGTAACAGGCATAAGGCTTCAGGCCCATGGGAGTTCAAGTTCACACTTTGAAAATGTATAACTTCCAGAAAAAGAAGCCAATTAGACTCCTTTTCCAACTCGGGTTGCATTTTAGTCCTGTATTTCTTTTTTAAAAGTTTGGCAATCATAAGTATGGTCGTCATGGCAACAGCACCCAAAATTGTGTTTTCTTCTATTCTAAATAGTTTTTTTCAAATTTTGATGCAATATTACATAATGTTTTACAGCATAATGAACATCAATTTTTAATAATAAAATATTAGTATTATGGATATTCAGAAAATGTGACTAGCAAAGGTCTTCAGGTCCATGGAACTTCAAAGTCACAACTTGAAAATGCCAAAATGTAAACAAGACAGCACTGTTCTGAAATGCTTTTTTTTTTCCATTTTTAACAATTTTTAACATAAAACAAAATTAACAGTTTACTGCCATTTTTATATGATCAACTAAGAAAATTGATGAGATGGGAAAAATATCAATAGAACAGTGTTAAATGTCCAATTTCTTCCATTCTGAGATTCTGAACATAGTGAATGATTGAATCTGACAAACTGCAATGATATGAGTTTATTTCCATTTTTGAAACTTTATTACACAATACACGATAACAAGTTTAACATCATTTTTACAAAATCAACTAACAATGTTGTAAAGACGCAGGAAATGTCCAAAAAACACTTTTACGTATCTTATTAATTAAATAATGAAACTATTAACATGCCTAAGAATTGAATCTGAGGAAATGTGAACCAAGACAGCACTGTTCTGACATGGGTTTATTTCCATTTTTAACACTTTTTTTAACATAAAACAAAATAAACAGTTTACTGCAATTTTTATATGATCAACTAAGAAAATTGATGAGATGGGAAAAATATCAATAGAATAGTGTTAAATGTCCAATTTCCTCCTTTCTGAGATTCTGAACATAGTGAATGATTGAATCTGACATCTGTGTCTGTACATAAAAATGGATTCATTAACCATTGGTAAGTATGGGAAAATTGTTGTTTACTCCAGGAAAATTATTTTTTGGCCGAAACGAAGAGTTATTATTGCTTTGGAGTACACAAACTTGATAAAAGGAAAACTGTTTTATCACAAAGCCTATATTAACAAGCCATGAAATAGTCACAAACATATCTGGTATAAAATGGAGCAATTAGAAGTTGACTTTTTTTGCAATTAATGAACCATAAAACACAAGAGATAAATATGCGTATTGGTACCCCTAAATTTTTACGGTGATCAAACAACTGCCACAGCAGGACAATATTTAAAAACCACGTCTTCGCAGGCAATAGGTTTACAAAAATATACAATTTATTCTATTCTGTAAATGAACTCTGATTTAAAAGCTTCATTAGCGACATTGTACCTTCATTGAATCTAAAAACCAACACCTTTTTATAGCAAATAGGATATAAGAAGCCATATATACTGACCAATTTTTGCCTCTCCTCTGGATTGTCACTTAGGCTATCTCGGTGGGTTCCTACTATAAGTATAGGTGGCGACAGCGTCATGTTATCCACACTGTTTCTGGTATTCTGGGCAGCGTGGGCATGAATAGAACTCATCCAAAAGTCCATGTAGCCTAGATTAGACAGCTCATTTTCCGCACCCTGAGACTGAAAAAATTAATAACAAGCATTATTTCTGTGCATCCTACACTTTCATTATACTAGTGCAATACAATAGATTTCAGTGAACAGTTGTTAGCAGCTGTGACCGCATGTAAATCAGAGATCAGGAAAATGAGAAAAACAAACTCATTACTATGTTGTTCACAGTAAATTCACAATGACTGAGTGACACTTCAAGCATTTTGTGTTAACCAAGGAAGCAATCATACTGACAGACAACTCTCACTCCAGGGTTCTTGAATAGCATTGCAGACAGATCAATATGATTATAAGGTCAGTAAACTTTGCTACGCACCTGCTCTTCCTCTCCTTCTACAACCATTTTAGCAGGTGCATCCAGATCTAAACACAGGTTGAACACAATCACATACACTGCTCTTGAGGACAGAAAAACCTGGAAAGTACAAGTACCAAGATAAAAATTCACCTCTCCTCTTATACTTCATCAAGTAACCATTCTATAAATACATTTCATCATAAACACTTAGGACAAAAAAAAAACACTTTATCTTAATCTGTCTTGTAATGAAAAATACATTTGGCAGAAAATATTAAATCCCATTGACTAGAAATATCATTCTGGAATAAGCTTGAAACAATATCCTAACACTTACCTGATGCGTTGTGTAGTAAACAGCCTGACCAGCAAAGTCCCATATGTTGAGAATAATATTCTTGCCAGCAGTACTGGGGGTGTTTGCTGTAGGTGCTGTGGACTGGTTAGTTTGTTTCTCCTTCCACTTCTCCTGTACTAACTGTACCACTCTCTCTGGCATCTCCTTCAACAGCTCTTCCTGCAGGGAGAAGTCTCCTCCCCCTGTGCCTGGACTGTTGCCACTACTGGCAAGACCAGAGTTTTTACTTTTACGCTGTAAGAGATTTTCTGTCTATAAACACATTTGGCAGACGGCAATTTTTTTGCTTTATCTATACACCAAATATGTGGCTTTTCTATTCCTTCAATTTTTTTCACTTCAAGTTTACATGGCTAATGATCTTCCTCCTCAAAAAAACTTTATACCAAGTACAATGTTAATTTCACCCCTGAAAAATACTCAATCATCACAACATTCTTCTGAATCTATAAACTTCATCAGCTACACTAAACTTACTCTATAGACCCTCTATACTCCCTTGACCATCATAAGGTATAATACAAAATTCAGTGCACTCAGGACATACCCACACTTTGACATTCTGAATATTTATTTCATATTTACCCTTTCCCCTCTTGACTCTGGACGAAGCTTGTTGTTTCGTTTATTGTCTGATTGACTTGCTTTTTCATTACTGTCTTTTTCTCTTTGTTTTTTCTTGTACAACAGTTCTTGAACTATATTAGTTGCCAAGGCCTGGTAATATTCTTCTTCTAGATCTGAAAATAGATTTGCAAGATTTCACCTCTTTTCTGTATCTTTTAATTTTTTGGTAAATAATTATGAGTGTTAATTCAACTTCATTCTTTTATTTCAATTATCAATTTATTTACTTATTCAATGCTTTAAAAAATATCAAAACAAACAAATGCTGGAATATTGTATGTCAGATATCCTAGATACAATGTACCATGCCAAAAACACCCTAAACACCCTTGACCTCACCTTATGCACTGTAGAATATAGTATACCCTAGTGACAATTAAAACATACCATGTGCCTTTTCTCCCCCCTGCTCCAGTTCCTCTTTGCCTCCTTTAATCGCCAGTTGCCATGACTTCCTATCACGTAAGTTAAAACTACAGGAAGCAGATAGGTCAATGCCGTCAGTGCTCTGTTCACTGGTGTCATGTCTGAAAATTGTGATATTAATGAACATTATCCAGCTCTGTAGTGTGTTTTAGTAATTGTTCTAGGGAATGCTTCACGGGGTTAAAGATGGAAATAATATAAATTGTAAAAATATCCACTGCTTAAAATAAATGCTTGTGAATTTTACATCTACTAGTACACAAATCAGTGATTTGGTCAACTGTGAACTTGCTATTCAATCATCAAAGGGACCTTTCAATTGAATACAGATCTAGAAGAGACAAAAATAGTTGCCCCATGACATTAAATTGATTTAAATATTGGAGTGGAGGAATAAAACATCACAGTGCCTTCAATGACTTAGTACTGATTAAGATCAGAGTCAGAAGGGAATAGCACAATGTTAGCTAGTTTGTGTGGCAGACATTGATTCCAGGTAAATTTAACTGGCCCTTGACTTAAAACTTTCAATCAAACACACTGCAGCCTGCACTTATGTACATATACAGCTCTATTAAGCTACTAGTAACACCTCCAGCAAGCTTTCTTACATAACACTTAGGTACACACAACGAAGATATCAGGATGGAATCCAAACGCATTAATCTTATTAATGAAATTCTACAAAGTTCTTTCTTAAACCAAGAACTTGTTTTGCTGGGAACCAAAGGATTACACAGATTCAGTCATATTGACATTAATATCCAGAACAATTTTATTAAATGCCAACTGTCTCCTACACAGTGGTATTTAGGTACCAAATACAAAGCTATATTTCCTTTATGTTCCCCGGACTGAAATATGGATCTCAAAAAATTCAATTTGATTAAACAGCTAGAGTAAACTTATGCAAAAGAAATTTCTTTAATCTAACCCTTCCCATAATGAATCTTTTAGAATGTAAAAAGTAATTATTTTAAATAAAGAATTGTTTAAACACTGAACAATGGTGCAAGTGTTCTTGGAAGGAAAAATAATAAGATAATGAGACTGTGCACAGACAGAATATGACAGTTTAATTTTTTTCTGGAATATATCCATAGTCATTAGTTTAGCATCTCCATCCATTATCCAGGAGAACATTTATCACTGTACCTGGTAAACTAATGTGTGACATTAATCGATAAAAGTACATAGTAGTAACATGCGGCCTACTGAATGCTATCATTACATATGTCAGGTACCTAGGAATTGTGCCATTCAGATACCCAATTAAACTACTAGTATATCCTGTTTACTAAAACAAAATCAAATTAAAACAGTAGCAATGGCAGATATTTTGGGGAAGTAACAACAATTTACCAAAATCTCCTATTTGGCACCAGTGTTAGGATTTTCAATTTTCAAACTGACTGCCAGAGAAATAACTTTCTTAAAACTTTTTTTTTCTTCTTAGAACTGACAAGTTGAAAGAAAGACATTGATGACATTGACAACCTATATTTATAAATAAATCTATATTCATTCTTTTTCCTAAGAGTGACAGTTAATGTGACAACTGAAACTCATCTTTATGTAACATTCAAAGTAATACCATTATTCCATGAAATAGAAAAGAAAAGAAAAACATTCTATAAAGCTTAAGAGAAAAAATCCCTGCCTGAAACTTAAAGAGCAGAATAATCATGAAACCTACCTCTGTCCAATCAAAGCTTTCTTTAAGCTTGTTTTTCCTACTCCATCTCTTCCTAAAAGCATCAGTCTGGTTCTAAACAATGGCTGTGTTCCAGATTCTGAGGCTTTCTGAAAGGCTTGCATGGCATCAGGGCCTCTGGCAATGATCTCCACAGGAGTTTCATCTGAAATCATGCCAAAATCTACTCAATGCTGACCCTCTGGCTCTACATTTTCATACCACACTTCACAATAAAAAAAATGGAGTTATGAGATAATTCATAGCTAAAAAAGCACTGTCTATCCTTGCCTCATAAATAACAAGGGTGGGGAGGGGAGGGGAGCATGAGATTTTTATGTGACAATTCTATCAATAAATACAATTTGGAAACAGGAATATAATTATTATCATTAAATTATCATCAATATTGTTACAACAGAATTCTGGGCTACTGTATTTTTCTTGACCTCATGAAATCATTAAAATGTGAACATTTCAATCATGTAAGTATTTCTTTTTCAGCATGAGATCATTTCAAAACAGCACCATATGTTTCATAGCAATCTTGCAAAAGAATAGCTGCTTATCTTTTCTTGTTATGGTGTATAAAAGTCTATTCCATTCAAGCAATTATATAAACATAATAAGTAATAACACGGACATTCTGTAAATAAGAGGAGCATTAATCCATTTTCCCTTTTAAAACAGTATCATATCTCAATAAAATAATAATTTCACTGAAGCAACATCTTGTGAAAAAAAGTCAAGAAAAGGAAAAGCCTAATTCCCCTTACTGTCAGGCTATAACACCTGTGCATAAAACAACACCACTAAGCTACTGTATGTATATCCCATGAAACACGACTTACAATCATGAGTACAGGTATAAAGGTTTTATTATCAATAATTCAGGAATCCTATGCTGTATAAAATCAATATCATCAGTAAACAGCATAATGCCCAGGATCGATTTCTGAAACCCCTAAGTTGTGACACAAATTAATTCACTAGTATTGTGAGAGCTGCATAAAGCACAGAATGACAATCAGTTCAGTTGAATATAATGGTGGCCTCAGAGCAAGAAACTTCAGGTTGATATTTTAGCATACAAACATTACAGAATGTTACATGTTGCTATACTTTGCACTTTTTTCCTGTCTTTTCTTTGTTTTCCTTATAAATTGTATACTGTACCTGGAGTGATGAACTTGACAGAGTCCGTGTTCCCATAGATGTCAAATACAACCCAAAGAGGTATATTTGTGGGCAAGGCATTAAGCAGCACTCCACGATGTTCATTATTGACAAAATAATGCAACTGCCCCTCTTCATTGATGTAAAATGTAATGTGGTTGCCATTCTTGGCATACTGTTCACTAACTCCCCTTGCCCAGTAGCCTGGTTTATTTGTCAGATCTGGACATACATAACGAGGAAGGGAAGCGGGATTCAGTTTTGCTGGGTCATTCGAGGTCAGGCCTATCCGTATCGCCCCACTCCATTCAGACCTGTGTGACACTTCAATGCAGAGTTTTTCGTTGATCTTAACTGGTTGGGAACTAAAGGCAATTCCATTGCAGAAGTGTTCCTTTCTGGTGGCCACAGTCTGGTCTTCTGAAAGCACCACGGCCGTGCCATGGATACGGTGAAAGCGGGGCTTGATGTGCATCCTTCTATCCTTAGATCTTCATTTTCTTAAGGCAGCCCATCTCCATAAGAATTTAATCTGAGTAAAAGAAAAAAAAGAACTGTATGTGACAAGGCAATTCATTATGATTTAATCACTTGCAATGAGGAATCCAACATATCAGAACTTCTATAAATTAAAGACTTCCTCTATTGAACTCCGTTCACAAAGTCAAGCCACGATGAAGCTACAGGATGGTATTATAATTTATTACTTTGAAATGTGCTAAAAATATAATCCTTGGCAAAATGTTGCGAAGAAGTATTAGCAGACATATTCAGTTTCCTGAATATAATACTGGTAAGTACAAGTCATTTCAAAGATAACATAAAAGCATCGTTTACTATCTATTACAGTTGGTGAGATTAACTACCGGTCTGAGGCAATTAACCAGAGAATTTGGCATCTTACTAGTTCAAAAAAAAGGTACTTCTCAAAGTTAATACTTTAACCAGTATAATGGGAATGTTGGTGATTGTTTGAGAGTATTTTTCCAATACCAATAACAATACCCATTACAAATCCCAACTAGTAAAATTTGATTCCAACTTGTAGTTTTCTGAAGTCATCAAGTGCAGCCACGAAAACAATGGTGACAAAAATTAATCAATTATTTGGTTCAAAGATTCAATCGTACAAACACACTTATTGAGGTTGTAACCTATGTTGTCACCCTCTACGAAAAATTAATGTCACAAAAACAGGCACTGGTCAGGGGCGGATCCAGAGCTATATACTGACAGTCTTCCAAATTATCTTTGTTGATTCATCCTCCAATTTTGACCGTCTTCCAACATGAAAAATTGGATACCCGTCAATGTAAACTTGAAAATCTGACCGTCTTCTGGAAGACCCAGAAGACGGCCTAAATCCGCCCCTGCTGGTAAATATAACGTCTGATGTTTGACCACATTTTACTTTCAACTGAACAAACAAGACAATTTCAGACTATGTATACACCTCTAAGTGCATTTGTGTATATATATATATACAGTAAAAAGCAGGTAAGGCCAGGTTACATATAAGTCTCAGGTTACAGGTTGTTCATAATTGCTTGACCTGGCATATACCTTATGATACTATGACACTAATCTGTAGCTTAGCAAAACCCATCAAACTTAAAGGTATACAATTGAAAAGGTCTCCAAGTAATTTTTTTTTCTATTTAGAATTACATACCTGCAAAGCTGCACATTTTTCCCCATTTAGACCTTACTAAGGATAAAAAATCCATCAAATAAAAGTGCCATATACAAATATTTCCTTCTGATATGTATAGTTAGACAGGGTGGGAAACACTTACAACTAAACCGTTTAACACAAATGGCATAAAACATTAAATGTAAGTACAGGGATAGGTCTAGCAATGTCCCGTAAATAAGAGAAAATAACTTTTTTTCCAAGGATAATATGTTTCGGCAGAAAAATCCAAGAAAGGATACTTCAAACTCTCTTAAATTTTTAATGTTAAGTTTTCAACCCCATTCTTTGAGAAAAAAAGCCAAAGGGACACATGTTAGAATTCAGTAAATTTTACTGACATTTGTTTATAAATACATTCTCAGGAACTATGACAACATGTGAAACCAAGTAAAAATACTTTCCTTCTTGGCAAAGCTGGGCCTGGTGTTCATTATTAAGACCGATTTAAATCAAACTAAAATACATACATTCTTATAAAAGAAATGGGTTAACAAAGTAATATTCGATGAAAACAAATGTCCTATGGCTTCTATGAATTTATGGTGGACATCTAGTAACATGATCAAAAAAAATTAAAAAGTGCTGGTGTTCTATATATTCATGATGTACTAATATACTCATCATATCTTTGTCACGACAGGACCCCTTTTTGATTTCACACTAGTTAATAGCTTCACTAGAGCCTTCAAATCTTCAAAATTAATATCATCAAAANTCTATGACACTAATCTGTAGCTTAGCAAAACCCATCAAACTTAAAGGTATACAATTGAAAAGGTCTCCAAGTAATTTTTTTTCTATTTAGAATTACATACCTGCAAAGCTGCACATCTTTCCCCATTTAGACCTTACTAATCCATCAAATAAAAGTGCCATATGCGAATATTTCCTTCTGATATGTCTAGTTAGACAGGGTGGGAAACACTTAAAACTAAACCGTTTAACATAAATGGCATAAAACATTAAATGTAAGTACAGGGATAGGTCTAGCAATGTCCCGTAAATAAGAGAAAATAACTTTTTTTCCAAGGATAATTTGATTCAGCAGAAAAATCCAAGAAAGGATACTTCAAACTCTCTTAAATTTTTAATGTTAAGTTTTCAACCCCATTCTTTGAGGAAAAAAAAAGCCAAAGGGGCACATGTTAGAATTCAGTAAATTTCACTGACATTTGTTTATAAATACATTCTCAGGAACTATGACAACATGTGAAACCAAGTAAAAATACTTTCCTTCTTGGCAAAGCTGGGCCTGGTGTTCATTATTAAGACCAATTTAAATCAAACTAAAATACATACATTCTTATAAAAGAAATGGGTTAACAAAGTAATATTTGATGAAAACAAATGTCCTATGGCTTCTATGAATTTATGGTGGACATCTAGTAACATGATCAAAAAAAATTAAAAAGTGCTGGTGTTCTATATATTCATGATGTACTAATATACTCATCATATCTTTGTCACGACAGGACCCCTTTTTGATTTCACACTAGTTAATAGCTTCACTAGAGCCTTCACATCTTCAAAATTAATATCATCAAAATTTGTTGACCTACATCTGTCAAGTTTTTTGGTCTTGCTTCTGGCACAACAACACTTAAAGGGAAAGCACTGGTACAACAACACAAAAAAGTAAGTTCACGTACCACCTTTCATTATAACAACCAGGTTCTTTTTTTTTTCTTACACAATATTTTATTCTAATATACACATGTCAAAAGAAGTGAGTAATTTTTTTAATTTAGGTTATTTTGGGTCACTTTTAAAGTGATAAAAAATTCTGAACAGGGAAAGACTTCATTGAAAAATTTCAGCTAGAAACTGGTAAACTTTGACTTCTGATAAATGAGTGTATTCCAATTAAATGAAATACTAGGTACCCCTGTTTTAAACCAAGGCAGACATGACTAACATTCAGACTAATACTTACCAGATTTAAGTTGACTGCCATGGCCTGAATTGGACCAAATTTTTGACATGATTTTATTGTGTTTCTTAGATATGTATATACACAACTAAAGTAAACATCACAACACTGCAACCCCTTTGATCAGCTGATGTTTTTTGAGGTCATGCCACTCTTTGGTTCACAAAATTGAAACCTGCCAAGCCATTTTACTCTTTTTTAAAATGACAGCACACCAGACAAGTGTCAAGTGTCAGACAAGTGTATGCAAGATTCATAATCACATATATGTTGTAAGATCATAATCAACAATGTGGCAATGGCAGTGGGAGGAGCTGGATAAGTTGTTTGTCTAAGCAACTTAGGTAGCCGCAAATTGTCAAACTTCAAAGTCAAAATGAATAGACAAAATTTGGACAAGTGTTTACATATCATTACTGCTATATTTGAGATATGATATTACGCCATTTAACTATGAAAATGAAATAACTAATACCAATGCTACTAGTACTGCCAAACTATTGAATCTCATACATGTATATTATCTGGGGTAATCCAACAGACAATGTAGTACGGCATTTATTCTTTCTAATCATATAATGTACCGATCTCAACATATTGTAAAATGGTTCACATACAGCGTTAACACGCAAATGAAAGTAAGAAAAACATCCAAACTTAGAAATGAGCTTGGTTGACTTACCTGTTGAGCCACTAAAGGTTAAATAAAAACACATTTCGTCGTAACTATTTAGCCAACAGTCCTCCATGTTGTTGATATTAGTTTCGCTCCCGCGCACTTGTAACAGCGCAGGGTCGCTTAGGTTCACTTTAGAAACTGATTGTGTTAGATGAGAGTTAATGCAATTTGACAATTCTTCATGTGAAGTGTATAATTGCCGTTTTATTTTACATACATATTTCTTTGAAGAAAAACGATGTGTTGCTTTGCAATTTTAGACCCTTGTATAAATTTTCGTATATATGACTTCGTGCCGCACAGTGTCCTTTGTAAAAAAAGTGAAAGTGTTAAAAGAGGCTTTTTTGTGCAAAAAAGTAGGAGCTGGCATACGAGAGATGGAGGGAGGGGGCTACTGCAGTACATCGCGCAAAACACTGTGGTTTGCCTGCTTGAATTATTTTTTCACTGTCCTCAAGAGAAATGAATGAAGATGCATTTTTCCTCTGGTGAATATGAATCCCCTTTATCATCATCTAATCTAATGCGATTACTAGTTAATGGATCACTTGTGTTCCATAAATCCCATTCTACTGCATCAGGACTTGGATTTTACAGGTCAAATAAATTAATAACCTGGCTTTCATAGCCTTCCTCTATTTTTTCACTCTCTAAAAACAACGGTACAGTTTTTATGATTTTTTGAAAACCAATGTAGGGTGTGGGACTATTAACCCTCTCAATCCCCCTTGGTACATGTACTGAGTATATATAATCAAAGGTTCGTCTACTCAGTCATAAAATATGTACATCACTTAGCAGGGATGATACCAGTCCTCACTGAAAAAGTAGGAAAATTGGCAGGGGTTTCAGGGTACACAAATCACAAGAAAGACCCAAATGACCCTGAAAAAGTCTCATCAGTGACTAAATCTCATCAAATGTTTCTACAACAAAGTTATATACATTGCATAATTTCTGCCTGGTCCCAAGCAACTACAACTCCTCTTAATTTAAGCAAAAATATTTTATTAAACCAAACAAATACTGAATATATGGCACAATAATTAGTTGAAGCAACTTCCAATAACAAATTCTCATCAAAACAAACATTAAAGAGAGGTATGTTAGAACCTTTTGCCCATGGCAATAAACACATTAACACTCAACATCTTTACATGTAAAGTACAAACTTAATGTGCTTCTTTCAACACAATGTACACTGGCATTAAAGTTTGCCTAACAATTTCATACAAATAACACAGAATATTGCTTTTTAAGAAAATTTAATGGAATGTGCTTTGGGCATGAAATGAGCATGCAGAGCTAGGGAGCCACTTTTACATGGCAAACAGATAAAAGAGCCAAACACAAATCAAACTCTGAATACCAAACAGGCTCTACCTACATCTGCCCATCATGTAGTAAAGAATGTCAATTACAAGTGTTTTTCATTAGAAGTTGAAACACCAAACTTAAACAGTTGTTTCACACTTTGATCTCAATCTTTTTTCACATTAGGTTTAAAAGCAACGATATGTATATTCATAGTCTCCGGCACTGGCACTGGATCGTTGGGGATGAAACCAGCCTTCTTCAACAGCTCCATTGGTACCTCCATACCCATGGTGATTCCATGCCCCTCATGAGGGTTATAGAATCTTGGCTGGTTTTCCTCAACAGCAGACACTTCTTTAGAGTTGGCTTCAGCTGATTCTTCTTTCTTGGCATCGTCATGTCCAGTCTCCTTTTTGCCCTTGTGTGCATCAGCTGCCCCATGACTGCCTTTGTGACCCTTTGCATGAGACTCCACGTGCTTGTGAGGATCATGACTTTTGTCTCCATGGCTAACTCTACGTGCTTTACCATGACCAGTCCCAGTGGCATCATGGCTGTTATCAACATGGCCTTGTGTTTCACCTCCATGGCTGCCCCTGCGGCCTGCAACATGGCCAGCCCCAGCTGAATCATGTTGCTCATCATGACTCTTTACATCTGCTCCATGGCTTCCTCTCCTACCTTTGGCATGGGTGGCAGCATCATGTTTAGGTGCAACATGCCCATGACCATGAGCTTTCTTGTGCCCTACAGTGTGACCATGCCCATGTGCATGACCATGTCCATGACCATGCCCATGGCCATGATCCATTCCAGTGGAAATCAGCTTGAAGGCATAGAGTGGTATAGCTGTCCACTTCCCAATGTTATCTTGCAGCTCATTGTGGATGTTGGAATCAAAGATGGAAAATATACCACCAGGCTTGAGGGCTTTATACACCCCGGTCATCATTTTCATGGGATCCTCCAGATGATGGACTGCATTGGTAACAGTGCAGTAGTCCAGATACTCTATCCAAACTGCTGGCAAGTTTTCTGCACTGCCTGTTTGAAAGCTGGCATTCTTTAAGCCCATTGTTTCTGCTTGTTTTCTTCCAGGAGCCAGGATCTCATCTGTCAAGTCGATACCAATCACTTTACTTTTTGGATACATCTTTGCAAGCATGTTGACATAGTTGCCTGATCCACACCCCAAGTCACACACCTTGATGCCTTTTTCTGAAGGAGTGAATAAATTATGCACATCAATTGTCAGAAAAAAATAAAGGGAAGTGATTTTTATCTCAATATGTCATATACAAGGGACTTTATGTCCCTCTGCTCTTTGTGCTTTTTGTGATATAAAATTACTGCCACTGCCATTATGCAACAGAAAAGTGCAAAAGAAAATGTTCAAAATTTCACTTGGCATAAACTTTCACATGCTGTGTCATTACATATACTCTATTAAGTCAACAAATGTGCTTTATATCGACAATGAACAAACTATTTTACTATAATGAGGGATAAATTGTATAACAGGAATTACAGCCTGCATGAGGTAAGAAACTATTGGATTTTGTTTGCATTGGGGAAGAACAACTGTTGCAATAAAAATCTCACCAAGCTTTGTCTTCAAACCAGGCACCTGTGCAATAATTTCTCTCAAGAAACTTGGAGAATATTTCTTGTTGTTCTCCATTTCATAATGACTAAAGAATTGCTTCATTTGCTCATGCTTTATTCCCCCTGAAAATGAAAGAAATCTTAAAATCATTACTATAAAATCATAGAAGTAGGGTAGTTGCAAAGAATTCTAAGAAGGAGCACAGACCAACCTTCACACCAATTCCACACATTTTCATACAAAATCAAAATACTTATTTCTATCTCAATCTTCCAAAAGAATGATTTTTTCCATTATATTAATTTTGACATCAGGTAAGGAAATGGTATGTTGCTATTTTAAATAACAGTCACACTTATTAACATATTTGGCAAAATTGCTAGAATTAAAAAATATTTAATTTTCTTTACCTTTTGAATCCTTTTTGAATCCTTTCACTATATCGCCACTGCATGCGGCATACATAGAGAGCAGTTTGGTCGTACCGCCTAAATTGGCCTCCGTTGATTTTAAGGACTGCACTCTGTGTTTAGGCAAGAAAAAGAGGGTGTCACCTTCATGCAGCACCATATCAACAATCTTTGCTGTTACCATCAAATGAAGCCATGCCCTGATAAACCTGAACAAAACAATGACAATTACAATGAATATATGTAAACACATTGCTCACATGCAGATAGATGATTTACAAAATGCTAAAAAAAAGTATAGTGGTGGCAATAAAATCATTCTTTATAAACAAATCTGCATTAACCTGCTTAACAATGTTATACAAGTTATGAACTATTCTGCATGCTTAACTAGAAGATACAACATTATTAGTTATTTTTTATCTACTATTTTATCCACAATTTACAGCAAAAATAAAGTGCATTCTTTTTTCTTGTTACATTTTCCTAATATCCCAATGCACATACTTCAAAGTGGTGATTATGCTTTTGAGCATCAAGTGGTATTGTATCAAAATTGACAAAAACCCTATTTTGTACACTATCATAGTTATTTCTGCTTAATTAACATTATATATCACCCAAAAACAATATAGAGACCTGTGCATTTCAAATGCTGAAGTATCAAAACATAAAATTGAATGAATTTGAAGTTGTATTCTATTTTTAAAAAAACATGTGTCTAGAAAAAAAATCCATGGCTGTCCTAATTTTACACAGATCTACATTTAATTTTTATCATGTCTGTACTTTATGTAATAAAGTAATTTACAAATTGCGTTCCAATATATTTTGTTGTGATTCAGTCTTGGTAAATTATATATGACGTAAGAATATTTATAATTTATTTTTTATTTTTAAACTGTAACTCAAGGGGCTTTGTGCCTGGCTAATACTACACTAAACATGTAAATATTTGAAGAGCATGCCCGTGACCTCATTTGCACCTCTGTATTGGGTCTGTACATAAAAAAGTGCTGCCTTGTTAATCTTACTTTAGTAGCACGCAAATTCACCATAAAGGACTGAAGATCATGAAGATGCAACATATAAGTACTTTGCGTCAGTTTTCGGTCTGACATGCTTAGTTTACATGTGAGGCCGAAAACTTAGTAAAATAAGTATAACTAGCTTACTCTTCTTTGCAATCGGATGCATCAGCTATCTCTTGTGAGGTTTTCGGTTGATCAAATTTCCCCAAGATATCAAACAGCTTCAGCTCGTAACCCACGGCGATAAAGATACTGGTGTGGCCGTTTGATATCAAGGATCCAAGATTCTCCCTGAAAGATTCAGCTGTTTCCATTTTTAAAGATTTTGTGCAACTGTTTACCGGCTGGTTTAGTCTGGTGTACGAGTTCAAGGCCAGCACCGTGTTTACCTCCTCGCTGTAGTAAACATATCGATTTTGTCACATCGAGGCTAAAGCGCTGTTTGACCACGGTTAGCCTAGTTTTTTTTTTTTTTTTATCAAGATAAGAACCACCCACCTTTCCCTACATAAAATTTTATTACATTATTCCCGCGTGGGGGGGGGGGGGGGGGGGGGATTCGGGGGTTCGAGAGGACGAGAGGACCGCCCCTGGGAAAAGGTCCACTCTGGTTAAAATTTGATCTAATTACATGAAGTTTTTATTGGAAAAGGTCCACTTTAAAAAAAAAAAAAAAAAAAAAAAAAAGACCCCCCCTTTTGAAGTTGCTGGGCCTGCCCTATCTCTCTCTCTCTCTCTCTCTCTCTCTCTCTCTCGATCTCTCAAGAAGATAAGTTCAGTCTTAGACGAATAAAAGAAATTTGGCGGGGGGGGGGGGGGGTGATTAACCCCGGTAAGATAATTTGGAATGACAAAAATACAAAGACTGTTCTAAAAAACTATTATCTAAAACCGCGCTTTGAAAGAGTGAATAACGTGATTAGGCTTACAGATAGAACTTCAAAGCTATATATATAATATGCATGCAAGGCGAATTTGACCTTTAGGACTGCATGGCAAAACAATATGTAAATTTTCTAAACTTAATTAGTTAAAAAACAGCTTTTTAACATAAATTTACAAATGGGACGGCAAGAGCCCGCTCAAACAAATTCATGTAGATAGCCAGCTAACAGCTGGTTAAAAAAGTCATTACAAAAATATTACTTTTATTCATGAATGTAAGACGTCATTTGGGCAGTGTGCGGCGGCTTCATCCTAGAGGGTAGGGAATACCTTTTGCGTTCCGCGCGACTGGCCTTATTTTTCGAATGTGATGCGTTATTTGAGCCCAATATTCTGCGTGAAACGTGATTCAGAAATTCTTGGTGATTGGTGATTGGTCTGAATATTTCTTGGTGATTGGTGATTGCGCATATGCGCTGTTTTAATCCTAGTGATTGCATGAAATATCCGGTGAATAAATAGATAAATAAGCCTAAATAAAAGATGGGCAACTAAAGAAACGACAAAGAAGTGAAAAATGTAGTATACAATAGGCTACCATAATGTGAAAAATATATTATAGGCCTACCAAATTTCAAATCGAATTCACCCCAGGCGCCAAATTGAAGGTATTCTATACTATTATTTGAAAATGCCCCCAAACCCTGTCTAAATATTCCGCAGAGTTAATTACCTTTCCCAATACAGACCTTTAAAATGATAGAGCCTAAACCCTGAAAAAATAGGTTGCAATATACTTCCTTCTGAAATGCCAGGAAAATATGGCGGTATAAATGAGTCATGATCGAGTCACTTAGAACTAAATTATTTAATTGAAAATGATACAGAACTGCCAATTCAAACGCAATGACAGTTCGAGCATCTTTTCGTTAGTAGGAGAAGGTTGCTTTTTTTCTCATCAAAAATCCCAAATAGTAGGCCTACACCTTCATTGTTTCACCAGAACATCCAGCTTGCAATGCGTATAGTAGCATTGTGATGCCGCGGGTTTGGTTTTGAAGTACTCAGTGGTGTCATATATAGGCAATGAGACGGTGTTCATGCTCAGGTAAAGAGGTAGTTTGAGGGACGGTTCGATCTTACATTTTTTTACCGCAAAAATCGCAATTTTGATGTCACCGGTAAAATGGCATTTGTGTTAATGCAAAGATATTTTGTCAGCAAACCTAGATTATGGAGATTTTGAAAGAATTTGTCAAGAGGGGCAAGATCGGGTAAGGATAAATGTTATGCTCGACCATTTCTCAGAGATTACAGACGTAAACAAACGTACATGTATCATTTTAACGTAACAAAGAATGAGCGCCGTAAAAACATGCGTGCGCACATATACAACGTCGCACGTACTCACAAAGTCGTGACAACAGAGAACAATCAATGAATATAGAAAACAACACCTTCATATTTTTGGTCACGTATGTATCGGTAACGTATGTATCATATGAACAATTTTCACAGATAGTTAAAGGCATTGGCAAGAAATCATTTTTGTCCCGTTTTCTTTTATTGTAATGTAACATTAAGACACCTCATGCGATATTATCCTGCACACACCTTCCCAAAAAGTATTCTGCAACATGTCTACGGGCCCTAATTTGACCATCGAAGGCATACAAGAAATACCTTGATTCTTCAGCAAAACCAACTTGTTCTTAGTGATGGTTGACCACGTTCTGGTAGTGCTGGGGTCACTGGACCTAATATTACCAACTGATACCTCATTCCATCTGCAAGAAAGGACTTCGGGGTTGACACAGGCTTCATCATGAAAGCACACTTGCACACAGTTCTCGTCTGGTGCGTGATTTGTTGCAGAAACCCAATGTTCTGAGGTTGGAGAAACCATCTTTGAGTCCTGATAATAAACTCACTGAGCATCCGTGGCATAAATTGAAGTGTGCAATCCAGAGGAGAACCAAACTCCAAGTAGTCCGGACCAATTCCGCCAAGCTTTTTAGGAAACATGGGACAATATCCCACAAAACAGAATTCTTACCCTTGTTGAAGGCAGCGGCACCGTCTACAGGAGGTAATTACAGTACACAGTAAACACACACGCTAACGCTAAATGTGTGTTAATTTGGTGACATTTGGTGGTGTCTTTTCAATTTAATGGGCATCTCTTTACCTCTGTGGAAATGACAGTGGAACATCGGATTAGAGGGGGTACATGTAATAAATATGAATAAATGATATCAAATATGGAAATCTTCACCGCTATTTTGTATTATCTGTACCACTAATCATGTTAGTTATGGTATCTGGAATGAAAATCACCATTCATTTCAATTAACTCCCGTGATGTGATCATTTATAAATAAAGGGACATGAAACTGGGGGTGGGACAACCTTTTTGACCAATGTTGTATATTCAGCACCCACAAACCGGTATTGTTTTCTGATTTCATTGTTTGTTCTCTGTTGTCGCGACTGTGCGGTTGCGTGCGACGTTGTGTATGTGCGCACACTTGCTATTACGTCGCTCATTCTTCTTTGTTACGTTAAAATGATACATACGTTACCGATACATACGTTACCATGAAGCGTGTAAATATTTATTTATTCTATTTTCATTGGTTGTCTTTCGTTTTGTGGGCCAACACTTATGTCTCGGTATGTATCGGTAACGTATGTAGATCTTAAAAGAGGCATCAATATGTATACTTCTATGGTAACGTATGTATCGGTAACGTATGTATCATTTTAACGTAACAAAAAAGAAAGAGCGCCGTAAAAACATGCGTGCGCACATATACAACGTCGCACGTACTCACAAAGTCGTGACAACAGAGAACAGATAAATGAATATAGAAAACAACACCTTCATATTATTGGTCACGTATGTATCGGTAACGTATGTATCATATGAACAATTTTCACAGATAGTTGAAGGCAAGAAATCATTTTTGTCCCGTTTTCTTTTATTGTAATGTAACTAAGACATAAGTGTTGGTCCACAAAACAAAAGACAACCAATGAAAATAGAATAAATAAATATTTACTGTCTGCAGGTCCTTAAAGGGACTTTGCTGTTACTCAGCAGTGGCAGATGGGAAAGAGTAAAGAGGATTGGTCGAAGTCTTTTTTTTTTTCTTTTATCAGATTCTTCATTTTTAGAAAAAAAATATTTCTACAGCCTATCAGATAATGTACGTGTATAGCAATACACAGGATAAAGATGCAAAGGCTGTTAAAGCTGTTATTACTATTCTAATAGCTTTATCAAACCCGCCACTATTTTTGGTTTTATCTCTTGAAGTATAGTTGCAACACCAGTCATGGTATATATATATATATACTCAAAGTAGTTTTAGATTGAGGTGCGTCTAACACAATGATGTTCGGGATATGGCATCTTGGATTTTGATTTGCATTAGTGCAACAAACGCAGCGTGCTCGACGTGTGAGAAGAATGTGTTCTGTGCTTTGTAATATACTGTATGCTATTCCCTTGCGCAAAGGTACCGTACAGCATAAAACATGAAAACATGCGTGCAGGAAATGGTGAATTTGCTTTTCCTGCCGCTAGAAAATTTTGAACCTTGGTTGGTTGCACCTCCGATGAAAGCAAAGGTTGACTACTAAACAGTAAGATTTCGCTTATATTATGTAAAATTTCAAAAATGAACAAATTGTCGCGAAAAAAACATCTTTTATGTTTTTTTTTCAATTTCTTATATAAAAAATTTCTGTCTTAGGCAGCTTGTTCCACTCTACCGGTACAGCTATACAATGCTATGTCACCATACGTTTTCCTTGCTTTTGGAATTTTCAATGAAAGCATGACGGATTCGCACACAAGCAATGTGGAAGAAAATTGTATGCAACAGAGATAGAATTTCAGGCACTTTTCAGGATATACAGCGCACCTTGTCCTAAAAAGATAGTGCTGTGCAACGTAGCAGTTTATGTTAATGTCACACGGAAAGAAAACCAACTGACGAGGGAATAATAACTCTGCCTGTTTTACAACTTCACTGGCTGGCTTTCCACCTGAACACCAGAGGAAGGAAAGGTACGTTGTCTTAAACTATATATATATATATGACAAAGGACAAACAGGAGAAATACAAAGAATATATTATTTGTACTGAGTTTGTTGCGTGTCACGGGTGTCAATTTGTGTGTGTGTGAGGGAGAGAGAGAGAGAGAGAGAGAGAGAGAGAGAGAGAGAGGGGGGTAAAAATTAATGAAAGTAGAATTGTCCAATAATAACTTTCATTTTCATGCAATGACAGCTGCCTTCTTAATTAAACAAATGCATACTTATTCAAACAAAACAAAACTGTGTTGTCGTTCTAGCCGTCTGACCACGCTCCACTGCCGGAAATTTGTGTGCGAAAAATACGCTCCTTTTTCGTTCTCTTTGATCGCGATCTGGACGGAATCTATGAAGGTGTTATGATATTGTACTCAATTCAATTGTGAATACAATTTCAATTTTTTATTGAAAAATGGTAAAAAATGACAAAAATTGATATCTATATTGTTTGTTTAATAAGTTCAGCCCCGATTTTCCATGCTTACGTAATTTTTGTCTTAATTTTTTTCAAATATATCTTAATGCATAATTTGAAAATGGAAATAAAAGTTTTACTTGAAAAAACAAAATCTATACTTAATAGAATTGTTGTGATTTGGTAATGCAACAAAGTTTTCAGATTAATTTTTCTTTTTTTTTTTTTACAAATATTCTTATCTTTGGATTAAAGGTTTAGTTTTTTTTTATTTTCTGTGGGTTATCCTTGTTGTTCCCTATATTTTGTATTCTGTTCATGTACTTCATCCTCTATCTGTTGTTGTTTTATAAGCTCCCAATACAGTCCTCGTTTTCTCTTCAAAGTTAAATGGTCACCAAGCTGAAAAAAAAAAGCATGGAATTTTAAAATTACGTAATCCTAATCGATGTAATAATAAAAAACATCGAAAATTCTATTAAAACTAGAGCAACAAATAGTCTTTATAGTATCATATCATAAAAGAATATGTAGAATCAGTATAAATAGTTATCAGTCAATGATAATTTTATGTATTTATTTTTACTTATTTTCACTCACAAATAGTTATGCATCTTATTAAAAAATATAGGATCATCAGAAAGTGTCCACAACTTTAAAAGAACTGAGCTTGCAAGTTTTTCAAGTTTTTAAAAACACTCAGGTGATAATTTTGACTCATGTTTTAAAGGATGACTGCCCACTGCTGCATGAAGATTGTTTTATATAATACCACCAAAAAAGAGATATCCTCATTAGCTCCACTCACCTCTGCTATTCTGCCATTGGCTACCACTGCTATAATGTCAGCATTCTGAATGGTGCTCAACCTATGGGCAATAACAAGCACTGTGCGACCTTAAAGAAAGATAAAATGAAGTTAATTTTGAACCAATGGAGAAACTAGAGGATCAGAGAGGCGATACCGCCTCCTGGTATTGTACCACCAGCTGGAGTAAGCGTAATTGTATGGGAAAAATGTGGGAAGGGGGGTAGGACATCATTTAAGTGTTGTGATTGAATGTGGGGAGTGCAGTAATGATTTCTGTTATATGATATGATTTTTAATTTTAAGAGGTTTGGTAGGTATGGAGATGGAAGAATTTTATTAATTCTGAACTGTGATTTTGTTGAAAAGTGGTCCAAATTAGTTTGGGCTTGTATAGTAAGAGTTATTAAATAGAAATGAGATGTGTTTGAGTTTTTTTTTTTTGGTTAAACAAGTCAAGTGTAATATGTTTATGTATAAAGTATATGAATGTATTGGTAAGTTATGACTTTTTAGCAGTTTAAGGAGTTTAATGTGTACTTTCATGTAATAGATATTTTGATTCATTGATTCATAACTTTTATTCAAAACATTATTCTTGAAAGTGTAGTTTTTGAAAATAAAATTATTATTACAAAAATGTCCTTATTCTGACATACAATTTCATCTTGTAAACAGTATGATGTGGTGTATCTCCTAGGTTTGAAGGCAAAGAAATCAGAAAATCTGTAAAATGCAGTTTCGGTAAAAAGTAAACTTAAGGGCACATTAACATATATCTCATTCAATTTCAATATGAACTGCAGGTGTATCTTTGCCAAACAGAGGTACCAGACCTTTTAAAATTGTAAGTAGAAATTTTCAAAATCCCCATGTACGAGTAAATATAGGCCTAAACATACGAAAACAGATAAAGGCCAGATAAAGTTAAATGTGCCAAATATCATAGCTTCATTTTCACTAGTAATAATATCATCAGTTTAAGTTATATACATTCTGACGACTTAAATAAGTTCCATTACATTATTTTACCCAGAACAAAAGTTTTTTCTAGGATTGGGGTACAATGGCAACCTGGTCACAAAAAGGGGGAGGGGGTTAAAATGAAATGAAAAAAAAAAATTTTAATTATAAATTTCAGTGGGGAAGGATGGTTAAAAACAATCGATAGCGATCTTCTGCTAACGTTCTTTCACGAATTCACTTGATTGAATGTGAAAATTAATTTGTCCCACTAGTTGACGATCTTTCGCAAACAAAAGCCATTGAATGAATATATGATTGCAACGATACCCAACCGAGGATACGAAAATTACGTTCTCCCTTGCTCTTTGGCCAATGAAGACTCAAATATGAAAATTGCGAAAAATTAATTTGTCTCACTAGTTGACGATCTTTGGCAAACAAAAGCCACTGAATGAATATACGATTGCAACGATCCCCCACTGAGGATACGAATATAACGTTCTTCCTTGCTATTTGGCCAACGAAGACTCAAATATGAAAATCGCGTCCTCATCTCTTTCACATTGGGAATGAACTTTCGCTAACAATGTGAAAGTTGTCTTTTTTTTCTGCCAGTTTTAGAGATAAAATGGAAAAAAATTGCAAAGTTCAGTTCATGATGTAAAGTAGGTCAAAGGTCAATTTCAAGGTCACATTTAGATTGCCAGTATATGACTTCCTATTCAAGTCCAATAGNGTAAATTTGATAATCCTACCATACAAATGAATGAACTTAAAGCAATGCAGCCAAGGATTTTGAATGCATTCTAAGTGCATAAATCACTTCTTGTTGAACTTATCTGAGCACAGTTAAACTTTTAAAACACACATATATATATATATACCCTGAGAAAATATGAGTTTTTGGCAGGAAAATCCTGACTTGGAATGCTTTCACCTTCTCCATCATGTGAATGAAAAGCAATTTTGTTGTTTGGCCATTAGGAAAACATCAAACGAAATGTATAATTTCTGCCAATCTTGTTACTTAGCTTACCTGGTTAATAAAACCAATTGCCCTTCCACGCAGCCAAGAAGGATCTAAATCCTTTATATCTACATCATCAACAGTAATGGACCCATTTTTGACATCATAAAACCTTTCCAACAGAGCAGCAATGGTTGATTTTCCTACAAGTAAAAGGTCAGATATCAATATGATTATTGTCTGACAAAACTATATATGTATTCTCATGAAAGTTAATTTAACAAGGCCACAAATTCTAACTTTAAAGTGCTTACTTAAATGTGTGTATGCATGTACGTATGCAAATGTGCATGTGTGTCCTTGCATATGCAAGCATGTTACCTACCTCCTCCAGAGAGTCCACAAAGAGCCACCACCTTCCCTGCTGGGATTTTCAAGCTAAAGTTGTGAAGGACTTCCTGATGATGTAAATTAAATATTACGAAAAAGGCATTTACATGTTCACAAATAACAAACTTCAAATTACAACTAAGGTTAAAATGTCTTCTTGTATACCAGTCCCTGAGTTTTCAAATTATGGAGCTACAGAGTTCTTTTTATACAAATCAATTTGCAGGGAAAATAATGCAGAGGAATAATTATATCAGGTGCAATTAAAGTTTTAAAAAACAGCAAAGAAGTAATATATCTTAATAGTAAAACACCAACCTGCTCTGGTCTTGTTGGATAAGAGAAGCTGACATTTTTAAACTCTATGTTCCCATACATAGCATAGTAAGGAATGCACTGGCCACCAGTTAGTGGTATTTCAGGTTTTAAACTGGTGTACTAGAAATGAAAAACACTACAGCTTTTATCATGCACTAATGGCACTATAAAGTTACAGAATTGGATTTATCTCTAATTCAAGACACCACGTCACAAGTACTAATATACACTGAATCCACAAATATAACTATCGATGTTTTTACTAGCATTAGGTATGAAAAATTTTACAGGTAAGCATACTTCATTCTATGTTTTGAAGTGCATATAGATCTACATTTCATGTTTCATTCCATATTGCAAAAGTAATATTTAATGAAGATATGACATGTTAAGTAGATAATGATAACAGCATGTATTACTTCAAAGACCCTTGCTCCAGCACTGACACCTCGCACAGCAGAACCAAACAGCAGAGACATCTGAGCTAGGGACCTACAATAATAATAATAATAATATTAATAACAATAATAAATACATTTCCTTATCGAAGGTCAGTTACAACTGATTCACTGTTAAGATGAAAGCATATTAGTATTGCAAGAAAGAACCTAAACCAATCAACGGTTGACATTATTGTTTTTTCAACAGAAATCATGGTTTTCTTTCCAAATTACTTCACTCAACATTGACAATGGTGCTGATAATATTTGGTTTAAATTTTAAAATGCATATAAGGCAGCTTTGGGATCCACTACAGTTGCCCTGCATTTACAAAGGGTTTGTATAACATTGTAAAAGATGAACATTATCTAGTACTTCACTTTCCATCCATTAATTAAATACCCTATTGCCTTCTTACACATACCGATCACCTGCATTTGAAAAGCTGGATCTTGCCTTCAATGTTATTACCTTTGTATTGTTTGTGTAGCGACAAGGAAGGACATTAGATCTCCAGGGCTTAATTCATGTGTTGCCATCAAATATCCCCCTGCATACATCACACCCAAAACAATTCCTGCAAATAAGCCCTATATATATATATAAAATTGTCATGTACCTGGCACAGGAAGCTCAATATTTAAATTAAACAGGCACAGAATAGTGTGAAATGGATAATATTCTTCTGCATGACCATAGGGTTATTCTCCATGACCAACTAAATCATTACATCTATGTGTTAAATGTAAAACCTACCATTTAATGCAAGGTTGGCTAAGCCCTGGAACACACCAATGCCATATCCCAGATTCTCATTCATATACATTGCCTGGTCTGCTTCTTTATTAAATAACCTAAAATATACACATGAAGTGTCAGATTCAAATATAACACATATCTTAAGTAAGTAAGTAACATTTTGGCCAAAACCAACACCTCCCACAATGAAATTGAAAATACTGTTAATCCAAAGTAATTTTACACATGTGCTTGTGTACTCCACTAGCTATATGCTCTGAGATACATGTATGTTCCACCCTACAGCTGATTAAGTGATAACTCACTCTATTTCTTTTGGTTCCATGGCAAAAGCTCTAACAGTCCTGGCATTTCCCAATGCTTCATCTGCTACCGAAGTGGCCTGAGCTATCTGAAACCATAACAAAACATCCCTGAGATCATAAAAACTTTTGGTTGAGCTTATATATGGACTGTAGTTTTTATTATAAGATATGTTCAGAGATAACGACAGGAGTTAAATTGAACAATTTATGCCATTAACAAAATTATTGAAGATCTTAACAATATATGACGGCTGAAAATTCAGGAGGGGTCACCAGTAACATAGCTTATCAAAATTAATGTTTTGCTTTTTGACTCAAATAAGTTGCCTCCCATCCTTATAAACACAGTGTACAACCTATGATAACATATTTTCTAAAAAAAAAAAATTAAGTTAAAAATTCGACATGCAAATCTCAGTCAATTTACTGTACCTGCCTCTCACTTATTGAAAAATTAGGATGAATCAAATAAACCATGATAGTCTTCATCCTTTCATTCTAAAATTTGTTATTGTGTATTGTTTTTTATTAAAGTACCTGGGCCTGCGCTGCCTTGGAGAGTTTTCTTAGTCCAGAACCTATCAGTGCTCCCCCTGCCACCAGACTGGGAACCACAACAACCATAAGTAATGTCAGCTTTGGAGACAGCAGATACAGTGAGACAATGCACCCGATTGTCTGCAAAAATTAATACAAATTTGATATTGTATTCAACATAACGACCATTCAAACAGATATAACATTCTTTTAAGAGATACTTTTTCGTAATGACAATTCAAACAGAAATAAACACTCTTTAAAGAGATACTTTTTCAAGATAATCAAATTTTTTCTGTCCATAATCAGCATATTCCTCACACCATCAGCCAAACATTAACCTGATACTTGTTACAGTTTACCTGGGTTGCACTCCTCAGGCCCTGAGATATGCATAACTTGAATGAACTTTTGAAATCTTGAACATCTGAGGTTAGTCTAAAATAAATACAAAATATTTTTGAAAGTGTTTTAAACCAGATGTGAAAATATTCTACCTTCATATATATACATACATTGTGACTACACTGTGTTTGCAAACACAAACTTTTTTAAGGATTCAAAGGCCAAAGTCAACATTATACATATGTGCAAATCTTAAATTACATTAAATACTTTCCTATGCACTTTAAATACAACAACAATCTGGAGATGCTACACACATAGGCTTTGCATGTGTGTGTGCGCGTGCGCACATGTGCGTGCATGCACACACACACACATGCATTTCACATTGTTGACAGCTTTTAGCTGCTCAATCTGGGAGACAAATTCTATAGAAAAAAAAGACAGCTATATTAACTTCAAACCAGTCTCTCAAGAAGTTTTGAAAAAATCCATCCTATCTTCCTGAAGATTGTGGAAGTCCTGAGTCCTGAATCTTCTTTTAAAATGTGTAGCTTACCTGTTAATAAGCTCCCCTGTTTTGTGAGCATCAAAAAATACAATGTCCTGTCTAATAAGTGACTGGAAAAGTTCCTTTCTCATCCTGCATGCCACACGTTCTCCAACAGTTGACAATAATGCAATGTAACCAGTGGTCATGGCAGCCTTTAAAAAAAACATTTCACATTAAATAAGTTATACAAAAATGAAATCTAAAGAGCATTTACAATATCTTCTCTGAGTAAATAGTAAACATGATGTCAAATGTTTTCATACTTTTCAAAAATCTACATCTACAAAAAATGTCCACACCTGAAGCCCATACATTGAAATCAGTTTTATTGCTGGTTGTCTAATTTCACTGAAATAATCCACATTGGCATCTTTAGTGAACTCTGCAACAACATTGACCAGTTCTCCAAGCATCATTGGAATCTGAATATTAACAACAGCCACAGCAAAGGCACTCTGAAAAGAAAAATACAATTAAACTGAAACTACTGCTACATCTGATTAATTAACTGATTTTTATGCCTATGCATTAAACAAAGTGCATCTAACAGTTTTTTCTCTTTTTTTATATTTTCAAATATACAATGAATCAGTTGTGTTTAAATTCAGATACCTCCACATTTTAATAAATAAATGAATAAATAAATAAATACAACCTTTAAATAACCTACCACAATTGCAGCTATTAAGTACCAAATTTCTGGGAGTAAAACTTTGATAAATTCTTTCCAGTTAAAATTTGGATCTGGCCCCTGATCTTCATCTTTTGTTTCAATAAGGCGACTGTTCTTTTTCCTTTTTGGTTCACATAGGGCATGCTGAGATTTACAACAGATTAAAATCAATCCTCCTGCAATCCCAAAACCAAATTTTAACCCATAAGCTGGGAAACCTTTGTTTAATGGTTGTGATGTTTGAGTCTTCTGCTTAAACCAAAAATGGCTCTGGAATCTGTTTCTGGGCTGAAATTTATCTGTGAAGAGTTCCCTCGTTTTTCTCCCTTGCTGTGTAAGCCTAATGGAACAAAAATCGAACTTTTGGTAATTGGCTTTTGATCATAAAAATTCAATACATGTATATTATCAATATAATAAATTAAATTTTGATATAATTATACATGTGAAGGTCTAGCATAAAAATTCAACCCTACTAGTAATTATGTTTTGGAACATGCATTTTGACTACTTTGACTGTAGGGCAGCAAAAAAGACTAAGACATAAGACCATATTTCAAATTATAGCCAAATCCCTGAGAATGGGACTGAAAGGAAAGCCTGTCTTAATATGAGAGTCAAACCTGTACTCGATCTTTAACTTCGTTTTACCTTGACAAATAGTTTTTTGTAAGACAAACTCTACTCAAATACATGCTAATGGCCATCCTTCCTTGGTGTTCAGGTGCAATGTCATTACAAGTAGGTCAAACAAGAAAAGCTCCTAAACGATATGAAAAATTAAAACAGGCTATTTTACATTAAAATAAAACACCAAATTTTACTTTTATCAAATCTAAACTGTTGTTTGTTGCAGGATGGTACATGTTATATTGTTTAATTTGAAGAGTTTTGAACGTGTAACAGTTACAACTGGACAGGTGTCGGTGAAAAGGAAAGAAAATGGTTGTAGTTTCGGTTTTATTTACGGTGAATTAATTGGCATGAATACTTACTGAAATTTCAACGATGAAGGTAAAGGATAGTTTCATACATATTAAGGTCAAAAATGAGGAGAGAGGAGCGAAAAAAAAAACTTATAATTATAATTATTATAAGCAATACCGAGGTCTTATCTACATGTGTACGGTACCTGTTAAAAGTGTTATAATTATATTATAATGTATAGTTGTACTAATGATGATATTTCCAGTCCACAGTCTATGGCATGTCCACTATCTAGACTTTCTATATAATTAGCCCACGTGGGCCGCGCTTCGTCCAGACAGCGCTATTTCAACGTGCAACCGTAGCGTAACAATTCACAAGAACATTCTGTTTCGTTGCACTCGTAGGGTTGCTTTACTGGTACTGGTAAGAAGCAGTCTAAGAAACATGGAGAAGAAAAGACGGGAAAAAAACAATCAACTGGTCCTAAACAGACTGTGTTAGATCCTCATATAAAAAAGGTAAAACAGAAGAAAAAATGAGCCAATTACTTCATTAGTAAAGGTTAATATTGCCTACTCGGGTATCGTTGCTCAAGCTATTCCAGCACCTGAATTAATAATTTACTTCTAAATATTTCCTGTGAAATTTAGTCTGCCATTTCACTAATTTTTTACTGTCCAGATTGTGAAATATCGGTATGAGTAGGTTTGCACAGGATATGTAGACATACTAGTAGAAAGTATGATTTTATGACAGTTTCAAATGCTGAGAATAAATACTTTAAAGATATTCAGAATAAATTGAATCAAGAATGAGCTCATCAGCTATCACCCTTGAGTATTAAGTCTGTATAATATTAAGTTACATGAACATTTCTTTTTAGACGTCACAAACATCACATGGAAATAAAGAGGTGGGTCATACCAGTATTTTATTTCACTCATTAATCATGATTTTTAAAAGTGAAATATCTCAGCTACATGAATAATGATCCAGTATTTTCATTTTCATTATTAGTCTATATGTGCATGTATAACTGACAGTGTTTTATGAAAGTCTTTCAATCTCAGTTGTTAGAAAATTTAATAATATCAATATGATATTGATCATAGATTTAATTTCTATATTAAATGTTAAGATTCAATTTCATATTTAATTTTGTAGCGGTGCACTTCCTCAGCAATCCAGTACAACAACGCTGTGCTTTCTTTTTCATAAATTTAATAGGTTAACGATATATAAGCTACTAAGCAGTGCACAAGCTGCTCAGCGTCTGCTACGCCGCCATGTTCCTTTTTTCCCTCGACGTTACCCCGGTTTATGCACACCGGCACTATATTTACCCCGTTACATGCCTCCCCGGGCAGATTAGACTCGTCCCGAGTCTCCAACCTAGTAACTACCGATTATAACTAAGTCCCAACACACTAAATCAACACTGGGTCTAAATCCTTGAAAAAGTTCACAACATTAATATCAACACTATTAACAGTAAAATTCCAGATGAAATGTCTCTTTTAACAGTAAAAGTTCCAGTTAAAATGTTTTTTTTT